GTTATTATATTAGATTATAAATCAATTAATATAAAAATGAGCTAAAACATATTATTAATAAGATATTTTATATAAAAACTATAAAAATTATCAAAGAAAATATTAATATTATTATAAAATTATAATATAATATAAAATTAAATAAATTTAATTTAATTAAATTTTAAATTAAATAAAAATTTCGAATTTTTTTTTTAAAAAAAAATATAAAAAACTTATTTAAATATTTTTTTTATAAAAAACTAAAATATACATACACTAATATAAATAAATAAACCTTTTTTTTTTATATTAAAAATATATTTTCTGAAATTTTTTTTTAAAAAAAAATAAAAAAATAAAAATGAACACATTTGACAAAAAAAAAAACATTTCAAGAATTCCTTTAAGCTATTTTGATTAATTATTTTCCTATTTTATTTTATTTATATACACTTTTTTAATTGAAAATAATTATATATACCTATTTATGCAATCCATTTATCTTTTTATTCACTTGAATATGCTACAATATAAATTTTTTTATCATTTATTTCGATTTTCTTTACAAAAAATAATAAAAATTTAGTAAAATAATAATAATAATAATAAAAAATAAATATCTATTATTAAGCCTACAAAACAAAATTCTTTATTTGTTTCCTATTCTGCCGATTTAATTCTTGTAATATTTTTCAATTCTATAATTTCTGTTGGATTATTAAGATTTTTTTCGTCTTTATAACTTTTTAAAGTGGTATTAGTTAATACAAACCATCTTCTTATTTTTTTTTTTATAATTAGAAATTTTAAATATGAAATTTTTTATTTACTTTTTACTTTCTCCATTGCTTTAATACTTTTGATTCTTTTTATAACCAACCAGACTCGAATATATCATTTTCAGATGTATTTTAATTACCGTCAATCATTTTTTTTTATATTTAATAAAAAATGTATTTTATTTAAAGCAAATATGTATATTTTATATTAAATAATATTTTTATCAATTAAAACAAAAAACAAAAATTAAATTTTAAAATATTATCATATATAAAATAAAGTAATTTATACAAAATATACAATAGAAAATAAAAAAAAATATAGATTAAAAAATGTGAATAAAATTGAATATAAACTTCAAAAACTTATGTATTTATTATATAAAAATATCGCAAATTTATAAAAATATATAAATTAGTCTAAATTTTGAATAACAAAATAAATTTTCGATAATAATAATATAAAATTAACATATGCATAAAACATAATAAAAATATTTATTATTAATAAAGAATAACTAAATAATAAAAAAAAAAAAAAAATATTAAAAAATAATTAAAAAAAAATAAAAATATAAAATAAAATAAAATATAAAAGTTTATAATTATAATATATTTAAAACTATAAAATAAAAATAAATAAAATAGTAATTTTTAATTAAAATTTAAAATTGTAAGTAATTAGAAAAAATGCTAATTGGATAAAAAATAAATGTATAATTATAAATATTAAATATAAAAAAAAATATTTAAACATATATAAATATTTTATATAAATATATATATATATATATATATATATATAAATATATATATATATATATATTATTTTTTTATTATTATTATTATATATGTTTATATTATGATTTATATTTATTTATATAAAAAGTATAAAGAAATTATTATTTTGTTATCAAATTTATTAATATCATATTTTTATTCAAATATACAATAATATATAAAAAAATTAAATAATACTTATATAAATTATAATAACAATATTATTTATATGATAATTAAAATTATGAAAAAAATTTAAATATGTTTATTTATAATATAAAACTGTAGAATAAGTAAATATATATAAAATTGTCTAATAATTTTCAAAGTTATGCTTATTAAGTATATTATAGAAGCTAATATTATTTCTAATCAACTTTAAGTATACATTTAATGGAATTTTAAACAAAATTTAGAAATCATATTATTTATTTCTTTTACATAATTTTATATAATATTTTATTTTATATCTTTAAAATCCAAATATAATTATTTCTATAATAAATTTATTTAATTCATAAAATTTAATGTTTATAAACTCTAGATTTGTCAATAATTATAAAAAATAAAATCATTAAATGATTAAGTTTAAATTAAATAACAATTTTTTAGAAATAAGATAAAATCAATATGTATGAATTTATTAATTTTAAATAAAAACATATTTTAAAAATAATTATTATTAAAATGTAGCAATATAAAAATATATATAAATATATATATATATATATATATATATATATATATATATATATATATATATATTATTTTTTTTATTTTTAATATAACAATTGTAATACAAAAAAATTATTAAACTTAATAATATTACATAACTGTATTTTCAATAATAATTAATAATATAAATAAATCAAATCATTTTTTTTGCTAATAAATAAAAAGGTTAATCAATATCAATGTTTCTTGCTGCAGAAACTTCAAAGTATTATAGACCTAATTTTTATGCCAAATCTTTTCCTTATCCAATTTCAATAGTAATAGCCCCTCTCATATCATTTTTAGTTGAAACGAGAATTCCTTTACAAGGAAAACAATATATATAAAATTATATATTCATATATATATAATTATAAGTATACCTGGAGGTAATTTATTTTAATTTGCTTTTTTTATTTATTCTGCCCATTTTGAAACTGAATTAAAACTTTCAACATCTGTACAATCATATACTAATACACACAAATCTGAGTTTCCTAACTTTTTATTAATTAGAAAAAAAACAATTTTTTTTTTTTATTTAAATTAATAATTTTTTGTTTTTATTTACTAATTCTTTTGTTATTGATACATAACATTCTTATCCACTTATATCAAAAAAGAATAATTCTACATCTTTATCTTATTCTTCAAAGGTAACTATTTTTGAAGATACTTCTGCTCCTTATGTCTTTATTTTAATAATTTTAATTATTTTGGTTTTATAATTATACCATATTATAATCCTTTAAAAAATTTTATCCGTTTGATGTATACATTTATAATAAACTTGTTTTTCCACATGCTGGTGATCCTTTTTTATTTATTTTAATTTTTATAGAATAAATCGAAAAATTACCTGCAACAACAACTTTAGCTTTTACTTTTTTCATTTTTTTTTTTATTTTAATTAATTTAAATATATTTAATTTTTTTTAAAAAATAAACATATTTTCTATTATAAAATTATTTTTTTTAATTATTAAATTAAAAAAATTTTATTTATATTAATATAAAAATACATATATATATATATAATATAAATAAAAAAACAATATTATATATAAAAAATATTTATTTATATAAGATAAAAATCAATATATATATATATTTCTAATATGATAATATTCTTTATTTATATAAGAAATATTTAATAAAGAATTTTGAATATCAAAATTTTCCTGATTTTTACAAAAATGAATTATCATTATCACCAATAAAAAATTTATACAAATTATTATTATTATTATTATTATTATTATTATTATTATTATTATTATTATTATTATTATTATTAATTGAATTGTTAATAAATTCTCCTTTTCCTTTTAAAATTTCTTATTAATTTTATTTCCATTTATCATAATAATCTATTATAAATTAGCATTCTACTATATTTATTATTATTATTATTATTCTTGAAAAGAAACGATTATTATTATTATAAAACCAATTATTTTTAATACTATTAAATAAGTTTTAAATATTTCTATTCTTAATCATCATTATTATCATGTTAATAATTTTAATTTTTTGATTATATTTATTCTTATTAATTCTACTATATTTAAAAATAAAATGTATATATATTTTTATTCTAAATTCAAAAATAAGTTACTTCCAGAACAGAAGATATATCTTAAGAAAAATCTTAAAATAATTTTTAATTTTTTAAATTTTTTATAATTCAATAATCATAGCTTAACTTTAAGCATCTGCCTAAGCTTATGCTTATTAACTTTCTAACAAATGCATTTCTTTTTAAGATTTACTCTCATTAATCTCTTCAGTTAAAATCTTTATATGCTATAATCTAATTTCTTTAGGTAAACCTTCCAAAATCCAAGGATGAAGTAAACATTCTCTTGCTTAAATACGTTTCTCAGGTTCCCAGACTAAACATTTTTTCAAAAAATCGATAAATTTTTCATCATTACACCCTAAAGTACTTTTCCAACTTTTACTACCTGGAATTCTGATCTTACCTTTACTATTCGGAATTAATATAGGTTAATAATTTTCATCGAAATAATATTTTTTTCTTTAACATTTCTAAAAAAAAAAAAAAGAAAAAAAAAATATTTATATATATGATTTTCTAAAAATTATTTTTTTATTAAAAATTTTAAAACTTTTAAAAACTCTATATCAGGTACTCCTAATAATTCCATAATAAAAAGCATTTATTCATTTTCATTTTTACCAGGAAATATTGGATATCCAATGTATAATTCAGCCATAATACATCCAAAAGACCACATATCGATTTCTGTTCCATATGGGATTCCTAAAATGATCTCAGGAGCTCTATAATATCTAGACTATATATAAGTATATATAACTTCATTTACAAAACAAGAAGAACCAAAATCAACTAGTTTAACTCCACTTTTATTTGCTTATTTTAATAATATATTTTCAGGTTTTAAATCACAGTGCATTATATTATTCTTTTTTAAAAAACTTATCGCATTTAATATTTATATGCCGAATCTTCTTATTAATTCTAAAGAAAGGCCTTGAAAATTATTGTTTCTTAAAAGTTAGTATAAATTTATACTTAATAATTCAAATACTAAACACTTTTATGTATATATATAAATAATATATATATATATATATATATATATATATATATTATATTTTTTTATTTATTTATTTTTACCACATGATTTCTAAATATTACAAAGTCTCTAATTTTAACTATATTAGTTTAATTATCCGAATCTTTTTCTTTTATATAATGCAAAATATTTAGTTCTATTATAGCTTATTCATGGAATTTTTATTTATTTTTAATAATTTTTAATGCTACTATTTCTTTCCTTTTATAATCGTAAACTTTTAATACTTACCCGAAGGAACCTTTTCCTAAAACATCTAATATTTCATATCTATAAGCTATATGATCTTATAATTTAATTTAATATTCTCCTTTATTATCATCATATTATTAAAAAGAATTCATTTTTTGAGCTTTATGACCAATATAATAAATCTTTTTTTTAAAAAAAAATAAAAAAATAATATAAAAAAAATGCAAAATTATATTATATATATATATAAGAATTTACTCTTTTATATTAAATAATTTCTTCTTTTTCTTCTTTTGTTAAATATCTTTTAAAATTAATTAAAGCTTCTAAAGGTTTAAGTGGTATTTTCTTTTTTTATAAAAGAAAATAAATAAATAAATAATAAATAAAAAATACCACTTTATTCCAATCAATAATTTCTTAATCTTTCAAAGAAATTTTTTTCTATATATATAAAAAAAACATTTAAATATAATATATATTAAAAAAATATATATACATTATTTTTTGAATTAGAAGTAATTCCAATAAATGGAGTTTAACAAGTTGAATTTTCATCATTTTTCTTACTTTTATTTTCAAAATGATATGATTATTAGAGTTCTTTTTTTACCAGTATTTTTAAATTTTTGTTTTAAATAACTTTCTATTTCTTTTATTATTATTAATCAAAAACAGGCTGAATTTAGGAAATTTCCTTAATAAGTGCATTTTCAGTAGAATTGGCTTTTTTTTTAAGATTATTTCTTATATTGACTCCTATATTATAATTAACATTTTATTATTTTTATTCTAAATTTTAAGATTTTATGATTTGAATTTTTTTTTATTACGAATTACTTATAGTCTAGTTTTAATTTAATAAATTTAAATTATTTTTTTATTAATTATATTAGGTTGATTCAGAAATAAAAACTAAATTTTTAGGAGAAAGCAAATCTAATATTATATTTATTAAAATAAAAATAAAAAAATATATAAATATATATATATATATATATATCTTAATATATTTTTTATATATATTTTAGTATAAACCGAAAAGTTTTCCTATAGATTCTCCTGTTTTAATCGTTAATTTTTTTTCAATTAATTATTTTAACTTAAATTGGCTTTTTTTTTTATTAAAGACTACCTCTTACACTTTAAACGAGATTTTTATTATTATTATTTATTAAATAATTATTTAATTTTTTATTATTATTAATATTGTTTATTAATTAGTTATTAAAATTATTATTATTTATTAATGAATTATTTAAATTATAGCTTACATTATTATTATTATTCATTTTATTATGTGATATTGTGCTGTTTAGTGAACTTTTTTCATTAAAATTTCCATTTTTCTTGAAATAATTATAATATATTTTTTTTTTTATCTTTAAAAAAAATATATTATAATTTTACATATAAATACTTATTTAGAGCTTTATTAAATAGTTTTTAATTTCAAAACGGAAGAATCGCTTATTTTTTCACAAATTTTATTTATTTATTTATTTTTACAAGTCTAAGGGAAATAATTTACATATAATCTTTTTTTCTCATAATTTTTAGAATCATATATATTTTATAAACTATTATTAATATTTACACTTGGGCTTTAATTTATATAATTTTTCTTAAAAACCCCAATATTATTAATATGTAATGAATTCTATTTCTTATTATTTATATTTAAAATGTATTATCTTTTTATAGAATCTTTAATATTATTGCACATACTATTATTATTTTAAGAATTTAAAGACAATTTCTTAGATATATCAGATACTCTTGTAGATTTTTAATTTACATAATTTAATATTGAAGATTTATTAATAGTATTTTATATAATATTCTTTTTATTAATTTTTATTTCTTAATTTTCTTATTTTTTTGATATTTTATTTTAATCAAAATATTCAATAGTATTACTTTAAATTATATATTGATTTTTTTATTATAATGCTTTAATATTTCTTTATTATTTTTGTTCTTTTAATTCCCTACCTTTACTATCTAAACTAAATTAATTTTTTATAGTATTTTCTGTTTCTTTATAATTAATATTTTTATAAAATTATAAAATAAATATTATTATTTAATATGTTTTAAATATAACCTTTATGATTTTAATCATTTTAATTCTTTTTTTAATTTAATAATAAAAAAAAGAAAATAATATTTAATAAATATGTTATTGAAAATATATATAAAAAATACTCCAGGATAGTTTTTTAATCTTTTATGGAATTTATTCTATTATTAATTCATAAATGTTAGTTTGTTATAATATATATGATTTTATTAGGATTTAAAAAATAATTTAATATTTTTTTGTATTTATTTTATCTGTTTTATTTCAGTTTGCTTTTAATATTTTACTTTATTTTAAATAAAAATTATAAAAAATAATCATTTGAATAATATTTTTTAAAAATAAAAAATTTTATAAAAAAATATTAATATTAAAAAAAAAAAAAAAACAAATAAAAAAAATATGATTAATAAAAAGAAATAGCATTTAAATAAAAATAAAAAACAAAAATATTTACATATTTAAAATGTTATAAATAAGATGAAAATTATTAATATTATAATCATATAAATATTATTAATTATATTATTATTATTATTATTAATTATTATTATTATTATTTTTATTATTATATTTATTATTATTATTTATTATTTCATAATTTTTTATATATATTTATATATTATATTATTTTAATAATATATTAAATATTTTTTTTATTTATTTTCATAGTTAATCTTTAAAATTTCTAATATTTTTAATTATTTTTTTATTAAATTTTTTAAAAATTAATTTTAATATTATTTAAATATTTATTGTTAATATTATTTTCTTTAATTTTTATTATGTTTATTTCTAATACTTAATATATAATAAGCTATAATTTTTATTACTATGTAAATTAAGCTTTATACATTCTTAAATATTAATGTAAATAATTTTTTGTTTTTTTAATTTTTTAAATATATATAATTCCTTTTATACTTTTAATGTTTTCAATAAAATTATATATATTAATTAAAAAACATACTAGTGAAATAATTTGACTTTAATATTACTATTTATACTCAAAATAAATTTTTAATTTTCTCAATCTAACCGACATAAATAAACCATAAATAAACGAAAATCATAAACAAATTTAAATATTAATACAATTTTAGCATAATATGATAAAGACTTTTTTAAATATTATATTCTACTTTTATTAAGTACTTTGAAAAATCATGCAACGTTATCGGCTTATTTTGTTAAAAAATATATTTTTAATATGTTAATCTTTAAAGAATAATATATATAATATGCAAAATATGGATAATATTAGGTTTATAATAAGTAAAATATTATAAGTTTATTATTTCACTTCATATATATTAACTAATAAACTAAATCTATCGCTTTTTATCTACATAAATATATATCAGGTACAAATAATACCATTTTACCTGTAATTGATAAAAATTAATCTTAAAAATATAGTCAAGAAATGATTGTTAAATAGATAATATGAATTACAAAAAAAAATATTTTTTATTTTAAAAATTATGTTAACAAAAAGTTTAAAAAATAATTAACAAAAAATGCATAATTTATATGATTTTGATTTTACTAGTTTATATGATAATTTCCATAAATAATTATTACTTTATTAAAAAAGAATTATTGAATATTAATCATTATTAATGATTATATATTGAATATAATAATATATATATATATATATTAACTTATATATATATTTATATTTTATATATTTCATAATTTTTTATTTTAATCAAGTATATATTTTAAGAATATATATAATTTTTAATAGCATATTAGTTATAAATTTATATAAAATATTTTAATAATGAAAATGAAAAAATTTTATTTTTTTTATAAATAAAGATTTTTTTATATTTTTTATAAACATAAAATTTAGTATTATATTTTTTTAGAAAAAAAAATATTATAATTTGATATTGTTAATAAAAATAATTATTTATTAACAAATAATATTACTATTAAGATAATTTTAAAAAAATGTTATTTCATCAAATAGTTTAATATATTTTTATTTAATTTATATATAACTTATTATATATATATATATTAATTACAATTTAAAGTAATTTTTTTCTTAAATAGATTATAATAAAAATATAAAATAAAAAATTAAATATAATATATAAATATTATAATGCATATATTTTATATTTATTAAAGATATATATATTTTTTTTTGTAAAATAATGATTTTTTTTTTTTTTTATTAAAATATAAGAATTATAAAAATAATAAATATAAAATAAAAATTTATTTTAAAAAATGTATAAATAATTAATAAACATTAATAAATCTAATTAAAACAATAACAATAAATAAAAATAGTTTATATATTAAAAATCAATTAGATAAATAAATATCAATATATTCTTCATTAATTTTTTCTGAGTCGGAAATTTATATCCTAAGAAAAATTATAAAAATAAAAAAATAAAATCTTACATCTTTAAAATCGTAATTTAAATTAATTAAATAAATAAATATAGATAATGTAAAAAAAATTAAAAATCCTTTAAATGATACTAATATTTCTAAAATTCCTAATAATCTGCTTGATTTTCTATTCTAATAATTAAAAAAAAAATGTAAATATTTATATATATATATATTTATATATATATTTTTTACATATTTATTTATAAATATAAATATATAAAAAATTACTGTAAAATCAACGTTAGAATCAAAATCTTCTTTTATTTTATTTCTTAATTCTTTCATTTTCTAATATTAAACTTCCTCAATACTTAAGACAATTTCTTCTTACCATGTATTAATTAAATTTTAATATTCATCAAAATTAGTCTTATTTTTAGGCAAATTAATTAACATTATTGCATCGACTTTAGGTAAATCTTTTTATCCTTTTTAAAATTCAACTAATAAACCCTAAAAAGATAATATATATATATATATATATATATATATATATATATATATATATATATATATATATATATATATATATATATATATATATATTCAAATATATATACATATTTTTTACTTAATGTAATCTATCTATTGCATTTTCACATAAAATTCCATTAAAATATACATTCTTATCTCTATATTCTAATTCTAAATAAATATCCAATGCAGCCATATACCCAACTTCTTTTACTATATCTAAATTTTCATAGACTATTGTATCTCCGAAACTTATATTAAAAATTCTTTTTCCGACCTCAGTAAAATATAATTCACAAAATTTCAAAATAACAGTATATGTACCGTATTCATTCAAAGGCAAAGAATAAGCAAAAGATTCATCTGAGTGTCTTTCTGTTTTATATAATAAAGGATCATCAGTATATTTGATTTATTTTTTCATTATAGCTTAATTGTGTGTATAATCAGCAAATTTAGTATTTTTGGAATAATGTGTATCCTTTTTAATTTTTATTCAATTAAAAGCTATATATATATATTTATAATTACATGTGCATATATAATTCCATCTGATGCTTTATAACCTTAAAATGCCCCACAATCTATAGCTAGTATTATATTATCTTAAGAAAGTGGTTTATTAAATATAATAAGAATTAAATTAATTAAAACGAGTATTAAATAACTATTTTTATTCATATTATATTTTAAATTATTAAAATATCTTTTTTATTATTATGAAAAATATATATATAAAATATATTCATTAAAAAAAAATATAAAAAAATGGAAGAGAATTTCTTCTATTTTTTTTTTAAAAAATATTTTTAACAGTTTTAACTATTTTTAAAGGAGAAAATATTAAAGGAGCAATGAATTAATACAATAAAGCTTTTATATATTATTTATTTGATTAAAAATATATATTTTTATTATATATATATTTATTATTAAAAGACTATTTTATAAAGAAATATTTATCTTTTAATAAAAACTATTTTCTTTTTTTTATTATTTATATTTAATTCTTATATATTTTATTTTAAAGAATATATTAATTATTATTAATATTATTTTAATTACAATTATTTTTTTCATAAAAAGAAAGAAATTATTTTTCATTTAACAATTAATCAATTATTTTTCTTTTAAAAATTTATCGATGATTTTTTTCTTATTTCTTTGAAAATTAATCAATTTTTGAAATTTATACTTCTCTTTTTTTATAATTTCAAATCGAAAATCAATTCTCGATCTTTTACCAATAAATAACTCTTAAATTTATTAACAAAAACTAATATTAAGGATATTAATTTGCCTATTTATTGCCATAAAAAGATAAAAAGTTATAAAATATAAATCAATATTATTTTAGAGCATATATAAACAAGATTGTTTATCCATTATTTCTTAAAAACATACAATTTATCCCTTCCAAAATCATAAGAAATATTTAAAAGATTTTCTTACTTTTAGTAATTATTTTAATTTTCTTATAAATCAATAAATTTTTTTTTTAGAATTAAAAAAAGCTTTCAAAAATTTAATTTTATTTCACAAGAAATTTCTCCATTTTAAATTTTAATATACTGAATAAATTTGATATTTCACTATCTAAATAAAATAATAAAACTATCTATATTAAACTTTTTAATAGATTTTAAGCATTCAATATATAAAAATCATCATGAGGCAGTTTTGATATACTTGTTAGGAATTTATATTGTATAAATAATTACGGACTATATTTATATTTTTGGGAAACGGAATATTATCCTTTAAAAAAAAAAAAAATAGTTTTATTTTAATATATTTTTTTGGTTTTTAATTTTAAATACTATTTTTGTATTAAAATATATATTTTTTATTTTATATCAAATATAGATTATATATAATTTGTTTTAATTAAAAAATATATCTATTTATAACAAATTATAATTTTAAAATAGCTAATAAAGCAAAAAATTATCAGAAATTAAAAAAAAATATTGTAATAACAATATATATTATTAAATAAATATATGAAAAAACACGATAATGTTTTTTTTTAGAAAAAAATGTAGCTAAATAATATAATTTATAATTAATTATATTGATTAAGCAATTAAATTATAATACAAATAATCGAAAAACACTTTATAAATGCATATATTTGATATTATTAAGAAAAATTTGATTTTATTAATCTAGATATTTTTATATGAAAAAAAAAAAAAAAAAAAAAAAAAAGAAATTAATTATTTATTTTTTTTATAAAAAAAAAAAAAAAATCAATAATGTGTAAACCTAATTATATAAATATTCAAATAAAAAAAATAAAAAAAAAATATAGTAAAAATAGTAAAAATTTAAGATAAATTATAATATATATTTTATAAATAAAAATACTATGAAAGCAGTAAAAAAAAATATATATATATATATATAAAATTTATATTTATATTTATTTTCAAAAAAATAATATAAAAATATACTTTTAAAGTCAAGTTAAGTACCAAGAATTAACAAATTTGAAACCAATAAAATTGATTATAATTGTATTTTTTTTGTTATAAAAAAATAAATAAAGATACATATTCAAAAATAAAATAGTTCCGAATTCAAAATAAGTTAAATCATCTTAAAATAAAAATCATACTAAGTATTATTTTTATAAAAAATTTAAATAAAATAAAACTAAAAGTAAACACTAAGCTATAATAATTAATACATCAAATATACAAGAAGTAAAAAAACAATAAATAAAAAACTAAAAATAAAAAAGAAAAAATATTCCTTTAGTCGTTTTCCAACCAAAACATTCTATCAAAAATTAATATTCCAAAAGCAAAATCCCCAAAAGATGAAATTAAGCATATAAAAAAGTAACTAAAATACCCTAAATAAGCGCCTTTTATATTCAACTCCATAAAAAATATCTATTAATACAAAAAAAAAATATCAATAAATTAATAAAAATACTATTCTAATTAAAAAGTATTAACGGAAGAAACAAAAATCACTAGGAATAATTTACAATAATCTAGTTAAAGTGCAAACTAATCCCCTTTAGAAAATCGTGATTATATTTAATAGTAAAAAAACCGTTTCCTTTATTTAAATTTAACCAATTAAAATTATGAGAAAAATAAAAATAACAAAGAAATACATATAGAAGAAGAAATTATATAAAAGAATATAAATTAAGAAAAAGAATAATAAATTCATATAAAATATAATATTCGTAATAAAAATTCAAATAATTAATAACTAAGTATATATTGTTAATTAAGTAAAGTCTTTAGTTATAATAAATTTAAAAAAATTTGTTAATAATAAAAAAGTAATATAGAAAATAATTAAAACTATATATCATATGATAAAAATAAAGAAAATTCAAAAAAAATCGAAGAATTATAAAATTAATTATTTTCATCTAAATCAATTATATAAAACCTTGAAAAAAAAGTGGAAGAATATAAAATAATAATAAATGATTAAAATTAACAAATTTCATAATAATAAAATACTAATTAAAATTTAAATAATCAAATAAATAATCTAGAAATAGCAAATACGAATTATGAAAATTAAATTATTGATAAATAAAATTAAATAGAAGAACTTATTTAAAGAAAAAAAGAACTTAAATAGGAAAAAAAAGAACTTTAAAATATCTAGAAAAAAATCATGTAGGATTTTACATAGATATAATAGAAATATTAATAGGTTTTGATTATTCATTAAGAATAAATTAAAAAAATATAGTAATTAAATGATTTAAATTAATAGTTAAATAAAAAAAATGAAGCTAATTAATAAAAAAGTGATGATAATTAAGAAATTTGTTAATAATGTAAAGAATAATATTAAAGGAAAACTAAATAAATATAAGAAAAATATTAAAAACAAAAGGAAAAATAAAAATAAAAATTCAAAAAATATGTAAATAATATTTCATAAAATTCTAAATAAGAAATTGAATTTATCAAATAATAATTATGTATTAAATTAAAGGAAATTTTTTAAAAATGATTACTTTTTTCACTTTTTATCTATTTTAAATATTAATATATATTTTTTTTCAAATAAATAAATTTAAAAAAAAATTATAAAATTATTCTTTAATATATATATATATATATATATATATATATATATATATATATATTTATATATATACATATTTATATTAAAAATATTAAATAAATTAGACTAATTTTTTATTAGATAATATTTATATTTAGAAAAATATTAAAAAACAAAAACTTTAAATAAAAAAAACTTTTATTATTTTGAATTATATTTAAATAAATTAAAATAATTAACAATATTAATAAAAAATAATAAAATATTTTTGTATATAATCCTAATTAAATAAAATATATATATATATTAAAAAAGAATAAATAAATAAAATATAACATTTATATATAAATATAGAAATGAAGAGAAAAACTACATTCGTACCTGGAGATTTCTTAACCCGCGCTGAAAAAATTGAATAAATAACAATTCCATTATCAACAGATAATAAAATAATAGTAACCCCAAATAACGAAGGTTTAGGCTTTAGAAAAAACTGTTATAATCAAGAATAATTAGCAAATAAAGTAGAAAAAAAAAAATTTGACTTAACAATAATATAAGCAAATAAAATATGCGAAACAGTATGGAAAAATAAAAAAATGGAAGAAGAAGCAGAATATTCCAAATCATTAAAAACAGTATTATATGTAGCAATATTTTTTTCAATCCTTTCTTTTGTTTTATTAATTATTCTTGTATATGGAGATGGAACAGATTCCTTATTATGGGCTAGTATTAGCTTAATATGTATTGCAGGTACTCTTATTTTAATTGTAGTTATTAAAAGTTTGTTTACAGAACCGAAGTTTATTGATTTAGAAAAAACAATAATGGATTAGTTAAATATATTTTTTGATAAAGAAAATAATAATTTTTATTCAAAAAATGGACTTTTATGGGAAGTATAAGAAAAATTTTATTGGCTAACATTACATATAAAATGAATTATATTTATATATAATTATTTAATTTGATTTTTTTTATTTTAAACATTAATATATCTATTATATATATATTTATATATTTTAGAAAAAAAAAATTATATGTATTTTCCATATATTTATTTATAAGTTTTTTTATTATTTAAGTAAATTTTGTTATAAATTAATTTAAATTAAATTAAATTAAATTATATATGTAATAAATCTTTATTTAATTTAATTATATTATATTATATTATTTTTTAAAATTTAAATTTTTTATTATTAAAATTTTACTTTTATTTTTATTTTCTAAAAAATATTATATTTATTATATTAAATCATTAAAATATTTTCTGATATAAATAAATTTCAATTTTTAGTTTTTTATAATATTATAATTTTTTTTTAGTTATATTTTTACTTTCATTATCATAAAGATTTTATTTTATATATTTAAAATAGCTTGCATTTTTACTAATGTCTTGGTTATTTTATATATAAATAGATTTTTTATTATGATTTTTTAATATATATTGTTATTATTTATATATTTTAATAAACTTCTTGCATACTAATTATATTTATTAAATTTAAATAATTTTATTTTTATTATGCAACGCTGCCTGAAACTAGTATTAAACTTAAATCATAATTATTTTAATAAAAAAAGATATTTAAATTAGATACTATAAATTTAATTAATAAATTTTAATGTAAACTTAAAAATTTTAATAAAATAAAATGAAGAAATTTATTTTTATTTAGAATTTTAAAAAATTGAGATATATTAAAATATTTATCAATATTTAACTTCTTAACAATACGAGAAAAATAATAATTTTAGTTTAAATTTTATATTTTTGTATTTCTTATTATAAAAAATAGAAAAAATATAAATAAAAAATTAGAATATATCTTCTAAATTAATTTTTTATAAGAAATATAATTGAATTTGAAAATATAAGCTAATGTTTTAAATAATAAAGTTTACCCTTTTGAATAAAATTTATAATTTATGAAATTCATAAAGAAATAATTAAATAAAATAAATAAATGAATAATATATAAAATATATATATATATATATATATATATATATATATATATATATATATATATATATATTAAATCTTTTTACCTTTTTCTTATTTACCTATTTACCTATTTACCTATTACCTATTTACCTATTTACCTATTTACCTATTTACCTATTTACCTATTTACCTATTTACCTATTTACCATTTTACCAATTTACCTATTTACCTATTTACCTATTTACCTATTTACCTATTTACCTATTTACCTCTTTACCTATTTACCTATTTAGACTACTTGATATATTTTTATTATCTTTCATTTAATGTTTTATTCATTTTTATTTAATTAATTAATTGACTTCCCTTTATTTTAGAAAAGATATATTTTTTTAAGTAATTAATTCAATTTTGTTAGCATAAAAATTTGTATAATTAATAAAATATAATTATTCATATTAAGTAATAATAAATATTTTTTTATATAATATAATATATAAATATAAATTTAATTTTTTTTATTTTCTATATTTAATTTTATTTTTTAAATTTTTTCATTAATTGATTTAAACTTATCCGTCTTTATTATAACAATATAAAAACGAACATTTAAATAAAAAATCAATTTTTTAAATATTAATATATGTTTCCTATTAGAGATTTTTAATCTTTTTTATTTACATCTTAACTGATAACAATTCTTTAAGATTTAGTAATAGGTGGTGCATTTATAATAAATTTTCTTATAAAAAAAAGCAAAAAAAATAATAATAAATAAATAAACTAAATTGTTTAAAAAAATATACTTTATTTTACTATGAACTTTATTTAAATCACTTCCACCTAATAATTGTAAATCTTTTTTTTTCTTTAATTTTTTTTAATATATATAAATATATATAAAAAAAAAAAAAAAAATATATAAATATATATATATATATATATATATATATATTAAATTATAATATATATTTAAATAAATTATAATAAAAAATACTTTAAAAACAAACGTTAAAATATATTCGGGTTCAAATTCAATCTAAACATCTAAAATATCTTCAGTATATATACAAAACCTTTCATCTAAAGAATCGAATTCTATAATATGAAGTCCTTCTACATCTTTTCTACATAAAACCTATTATATTATAAAATAAAAACAACAAATAAAAATATATATTAATATATATTTGTAAAATACATATAATTTTTACTTAACAAAGTAATGGTTTTGATTATAAATTTTATTTTTTTAATTAAAAGAAAATAACATTATCTTCTATTAAATTTAACTATTTTTCGATAATAATAATATTTTATTATAAATTTTAATAATTTTAAGAGATTTTTTCATTTTCTTTTAAAAAAATTTCCTTTTTTTTATTTTCTTCAATTAAAACGTTTTCTAATTATTTTTAAAATTCTTCTTTTTAATTTTTTAAGATTTTTTCAAAATTTTATTTTTCTTAAAAAAAAAATTCCTCATTTTTTTTTTAATTTTCTTACATTTATTTTATATTATCTTCATTTTTTTTCAAATTTTATTCATATTATCTCAAATTTTCATTCAAATATTAAATTTCTTGAATTTTATCTTATAAATTTCTCTCAATATCTTATATTTTTTTCTACTTTTCTTCATTTTCTTATTAAAAAAATAAACTTCTCTCGTATAAAGACTCCTCGCTTTTATATTTACTATTTAAATTTTATATTTAATTCCTTAATTATTAAATCTCTTCCTTTAAAATCATATTTTCCTTCTAACTTTTTTAAAACTCTTCCAAAATCTAACCATTATCCTTCTTTATTCCAAAATAAGAACCTATTTCAGCAAAAAAGCTATCCTATTAATCTATGTTAGACATATTTAATTCATTTGATTGCTAATTATTATATATTTAAGTCTTTAATTTCATATATAAGTCCATATACTTATCTTTATTCATTCTTTCTATAATAATATTTTCTTATAAATTTTAAATTTCTTATTTATATTTAATAATATCTTATTCCTAAAAAAAAAATATATATATATATTTTATGTTATATTTTATAAAAACTAAATTTTCAATGTCTTTTTATTAAGTTTCTATTTTTAATTTTAATTCAATATTTTTTTAATCATATTCTGATTTTAATTCCCTTTCTTTTAAAATAGCATCTTTTAAAACTTTTAACTTTTTTTTAATATTTTTGTCTCATTTACATCTTAAATTCTTGGATCCATTGTCATTCTTAAAGCTAAATTTTTATATTTTTAATTTTTTTATAATTAATTAAATAAAAAAACCTAAACTATCTCTTAATTTATCTTATATTTCGGAATCTTGATTTTATTATAATTTCTAATCCATTAATAATTTTATTTTAAAAAAAATATTGTTTTATTTATATATAAATATAAAAATATATATATATACAAAAATAAATAAATATTTATATATAAAAAATATATATATATATATATATATATATATATATATAGATTTTAATATTTTTTTATTTTTATTTATTATATTAAATTATATATGTTTATTATTTTAATATATTTCTATCTAATAAATAGTACTATATTTTTATACCTATACTCTTTTAAAAATATAATTTTAATTATTTTTAATATAATACTTTAATATTATTATTTTTATTATTATATATTTATTTAATAATTTATTAATATAATTTTAATTTTATATATATATTTTTTTATTTATCTTTAATATATTATAATAATTAATAAAAAAAAAATATATAATATTTATTGAATTTAAATTAATTTACTTTTTATATTAATTTTTTATAATATTATTAAATATTTCTTATTTATATATTATATATATTCTCTTCAAAATAAATAAATAAAAAATTTTATATATTAATAAAAATAATAATAATTTATAAAATTCTTATACATAGTTTTATTAAATATTTAAGAATTTATTTAAAATATATATGTTTTTATATTATAAAAAATATTTATTTTATATTTAATAAATTAATTTTATGAAAATGAAGTTAAATAAACTATTAAATTTATATTTTATTTAATTTTTCTAATATTTAAAATTTGTATAATTTTTTTTTTATAAATTTAATAATTTATTATTGAAAAAAAAATTTATATTTTTAAAATATTTATATTATAAATTAAATATATTATATATATTTATATATATATATTTTTTTTTTCATATAATTTAATTTTTAAATACGAGCTTACTTTTTTGTTAATTTTTATATATCTAAGCATAGATTTTTTACAATATTACTTATTTATATATACTCAAGAATACTTTTTTATTTATAAAATCTTTTTATGCTATATATAAATTAATTTAAAAAATAATAAATATATAAAAAATTTAATAAATATGTAAAATATTTTATTTTTAATAGTTATTCATTTAATATTTCTTTAATCTATAAATTCAACTCAAAATAAATGCCTTAATCCTTGTTCTTATCACTCAGACTGTCAAAAAATACCAGAATGTAAAAATTAAATATTTAACTGTCCAAATTAAACAAAAATAAATACTTAATTAACACAATATATAAAAAGTGACGAGTATTTTTGCGAAAACAAATGTCAAAATCGTTTATATTTATAAAAGAAAGACCTTGACTACATTTAATGTTTACAAAAATGTTTACACAAAGAATTAAATGAAAGAATATTAAGCGATGTTTAAATAAGAGTAAGACTATACATGCAAGATGAGTACAAGCATTCCGGATAAACTTTTAGAGAAACCGAATTTAGCGAAAATACGAAAAAAGTAGTCATAAGAAAGGGAAATACATCCAATATGATATTGAATTATTTTAAATCAAGGCAAGATTTTGAAATAATATAATTTAATACTCCCTATTCTGACCAATATGATTTCAAATGGACTGATTTCAGTTATTAATAGAACTATTTAAACTTCCAAGAAAATAAATAAATTATAAATCATATCCCTAATATACGAAATTTACTTTCATATAAAGACTCTTATGTTATAACTTTAAAACTATTCGATATTTAAAGCTAAAATATATATAAAATAAAATCTAAAGACTTCCATTTTGAAACCTATATTTTTAATTTAACTAATCCATAAATAAATTAAAATGAAAAATTCTTTTTTGATAATATAAATTCAGGGTATTGGCTTGCAAAAGACCCAAACGGATCTTTAGGTTTTTTTTATATATATATATATATTTTTTTTTTTTTTTAAAAAAAAAAAAAAAAAAAAAAAAGGAAATAGGCATTAAATTATTCAAAAATGTTACTGAAATAAAAGAAAATATAAAATATATTAAATAGAATTTAGTCTAGTTATTAATTTAAGCCAAAACAAGGGAACAGAAGTAAAATTTAGCAATGTTTTAAGTCATATAAAGGTATTTAGAAAACCCTTTATTAATTGATGGGAAAAAAAATGACATAAGAAGCTATATTTTGATACCTTCTATAAATCCCTTTGTGGTTTTATATTAAAATGGCTTCGTGAGGAAATGTATAAGCAATTATACTAAAGAATTCACTAGTTTTGAAGGAGATGAGGCATATAAACATTTAACAAATCGTATATTTTAAAAAAAACATAAATAATACGAAACTGAAAGTAACTAATTAATGATCACAATCGAATAATTTGAATAATATCTATAATAAAAAATGAATATTAGTCCTTTAGAAATATCAAAAATGTGGAATAAATGTAAAAAAGCGGCTTTATACAGCATTTTATCAGCAAAAGATAAACTTGGCAAAAAAAAAGGATATTTTCAACTTTTGGGTATAGATTTAATTTTCGATGATAAATTAAATGCTTTTTTAATTGAATTCAATACAAGTGCAGGTCTTTTTATGGAATTATAAACACATTTTAAAGTCATACCTTAGTTAGTTTAGAGTACTTTAGATATTATATTAGAAAGTCATGATAAAAATGTTGATTTATGGGATTATTGGAGATTACCTAAGTTTAGGTAATTAGGAAATTGGGAAGTTATTTATAATGAGGCAAATGAGTATAATTTTTTATATGAAAGTGAAAAAAAAGATATATGAATATATTTTATCTTTAAAATAAATATATATATATATATATATAAATATATAATTATATATATACGTAATATATATATGTTTTTTAATATATTTATATAAATTATTTGTTATATATATATTTTTTTTTAAAAAAAAAAAAACACAATACTTTTATTCTTTTACATATTTCATATAATTTAGTATAAATTTATTTATAATTTTTATTTTTATTTTATTTTTTAAAAATTTTTATTTATATTTATTCTTTTTATTTAATTTATTTAATATATTTAGTTTTTTTCAATAATTTTTTTTTTTTTCTTATATTATTTATTTTTAAATATAAATTAATATAAAAATGATATTAATTTTACATTATAATAAATTTAATAATAATCAATTTATATTTTAAAATAAAATATGTTCCATTTAATATATCAAATAACTCTTATTCTACTCTTATATATATATTAATCTTCTTATAATTAAATTAAAAGTTAAAATTTATTTATTTACTTATAACCAAGTATTTTTTATGAATAAATAAAATGTATATAGCAGCCTTTTCTATGCTAAAAGACTTGTCCAATTATTAATAATACGTTTGACTATATAAAATCTAAAGAATATAAATGCCAAAACTAATGTTAAAACCGTATATATTTAAAATTATAGAGCCTTTCATATATATAATGTTTAGAATTATGTTTAAATTTAAAAATATAAGAATAAACATTAACTTAAGTTGAAAAAAGAATAAAAAAATATATTGAGAATGAATATGAACATACAGGTGAGACTTTTAGAGAAGACTTTAAAAAAACAGAAAAAAAAAACAAGTTTACATGCTTTTAGGATAAAAATATAAAATAATTAAAAAATACTTTGATTCCCGATAAGATTTCGAAATAATACATAATTTCTTACCTTAATAGACTGATTTTTACTTTAAATTTACTGATTTTAACTATTAATAGAATTATAAACTACATAAAAATGGCGAATAGTTAATTAATCATATATAAAATATAAAAAACCTGCTTTCAAATAAAGATTCTTTTATAAAAACATTAAAAGAATATGATAATAACCCAAATAATCATTTCAACAAATTAATAAATTCAACTCATTTCTTATTCGAATCATATATATTTGATTTAAAAGCAACTAATTAAAATGAACAAGAAAAATATTTTTTTGAAAAAGTAAACTCGAATTTTTGGATTGCTAAAAATCCAAAAGGAACATAAGGTTTTTTATTTTTTATATGAAAAAATTGAACTATTTAAAATAATATATATATATATATAGGAAAAGATATAAAATTATTTAAAAATGTCAATGAATTAAAAGATTAAATAAAATAATTAAAATAAAACTAATAATAAAGTACAAATAAAACCACTTCTATGTATTCTTTTGTTTAAAAATACTTAGAAAAGCCTCTACTTATCTATAATCATAAAAACGATTTAAGAAGTTATATTTTAATTGCCAGTATAAAACCTTTTGTAGTTTTATATTAAGACGGTCATTTCAGAAAATGTATAGAAGAGTATAATTTAGAAAGTTTCGTATAATTTGATATAAAATAATCCCAAATGCATTTAACAAACAGATAAAATTAAAGTAGTCATAAAGATTTTAATAAAATAAAAGAGTCGTTAACTCTTTCAATAGAAGAATATAAAAATTATTTAAAAAAAGAAAAAAACTTAAAAGAAAATGATATATAATAAATATTTATTTCATGTCGGAAAGCAGCATTATATAGTATTTTAGCAGCCAAAGATAGAATAGGCAAAAAAAAAGGACAATTTTAACTTCTAGGATTGGATTTGATAATTGATGAAAATTTAAAATGTTATATATTAGAATTTAACACAAATCCAGCCTTTTTTATGGAATAATAAATTGATTTTAAAATAACTCCGTAATTGGTATAATCGCATTTAGATATTATAATAGAAAGTCATGAAACGAATTCTCAATATTATTGGAAAAATGCAAATAAGAGATAATTGGGTTAATGGGAAGTATTATATAATGAAGCAACTAATTATAATTTATTAATTAATAAATGAATTTATACATAAATATAATTTTATATATATATATAAAATTATAAATTTATTAATATTTATTTGTGCATATATATTATTCTCTTAATTATTATTTATATTATTCTAATATTTTTACAATAATAATAATATATAATATAAAAAACAATATGATATCTTAATAAATAGAAGATTCTTATAAATAAATAAAATAATACATTATAAATACACCTTTTCTAATAAATTCTATATATTTTTCATCTAAATACTCTATAAATATATTTTTTTTAAACACGAATAGATGCAAAATACATCCTCATTTAAATACCGAGGAGCTATTAATAAGCTTTTAAAACTCTATTACTAACAAATAAACCTTCCAATAATAACATCTTCGACTGGAAATCATGCTTTGGCCGTTTGTTAGGCCTCATAAATATATAATTTATAAACAAAAATAATTATTTCGGATAAAATAACTAAATAAAAATTACAAAAACTTTAATTATTTAACTCTGATCTTTAAATAATACCCGGTGATTCCCTCCAAGCTAAAAAAACAGCCCGGCAATATTCAGAAAAATATAATCTCTAATATATTTCCCCATATAATGATATCGATATAATTATTGGTTAATGTACTATAGGTTTAGAAATATTTAATGAAAATTAAAAAATTGACGCTTTATTTGTTTCGGCTGGTGGTGGAGGCTTAATAGGTGGAATAAGTGCTTATTTAAAATAAAAAGGCGAAAAAATACATATAGTAGGTTGTTAACCATAAAACTCTTGTGTATTATACAAGAGTGTAAAAAAGGATATATTATTCAGAATTTAGAGGAAAAAGAAACACTTTCAGATGGGACTACAGGTGGTTTAGAGAAAAAATGTTGTACTTTGGAAATTTGTAAAAATATGTAGATAAACGAGTTTTAGTAAATGAAGAAGAGATTAAATTTGCTATGAAAAGTTTATGTTTAGGTGAAAATTTAATAGTAGAAGGAGCAGCAGGTCTAGCTTTTGCAAAATTTTTGAAAAAAAAAGAAGATTTAAAGGAAAAAAATGTAGCTATTGTATTATGTGGGAAAAATATTGCATTTGAAGATTTTAATAGAATTATTATTACTTGAAAAATTTATAAATAAATATATATTTAATTATTTAAATTTGCTTTTTTGAAATTCTTTATTTAATGTAAAGTATTTATAAAATTAGGATATGTTAGTGTTTATTTAATTATATTTAATGAAGAAGATAAATTTTATAAATGAATAAATTTAATTAAGATTATAAATGAACATATATTTATAAAAAACATAAATATAATAATATATATAAATATAAATAATATATATATAATATATATATATATATATAATTATGTTTATATAATTTTACTACTTTTTTTATTTTTAATATATTTTAATTATAATATTTCTTAAAAATAATTAATTTTTATATTGTTATTTAAAAAAAAAATAATTCATATGATTAATTTATAATCAAAATTATATTAAATAAATATATATATTATTTGAAAAAGGTTTAAGAAATACCTTTTTCAATTTTTTTGAGTATAACTTTTTTTTAATTTTTAAATTATTGACTAAAAATATTAAAATTTATATTTTATTAATTTTCCTATTAACTTAAAAAACTTAATTCTTCGTTTTTAATTTATATTAATAAACATAATAATAAGATTAAAATATATATGATTGTATATATTAAAAAATAATTAATGTTTATTTTATTTTTTTAAAAAAATGATTATATTTTTCTATTTTTAATAAATTATTAATTTTGTAACTTTTTAAATATATATTTTAATTTATTATTTTTATTTTTTATTTAATAAAAATATATTTAATATTTATATATTTTTTTTTAAAAAAAAGAAATGAATCAACATAATTTATTAAGTAAAATCATAAAAACAAAATAAAGTAAAATTTAAAATAAAAAAATAAAAAAAGGATTATAAGAATAGCTAAATACTCAATAAAATAGTACATAAAAATTAAATTAATATTTAAAAGAATAATGCTTAAAATACAATAATTTATCATAAACAATAAATAATAATATTACAAATATAAATAAAAGCTAAATTAAGTTTAATATAAAATAAGGATTAATTTAAATATATAAAAAATATTATCCGAATGAGAACATATAAATAAGTGTCTTTGAAAATTAAAATACATATGATCATTAATTTAAATTACAAAATAATATATAAGATAATTTATATTAAATAGAAGATAATTTTAATATATAAAAAATTAAAAATAAATAATCATTAAAAGACTTAAATAATGATGAAATAAATAATTATTTATAGAATCAAAGTACTTGCATTAATATTTAATAAAAGAAAAATAGAATAAATTTATTAAGTTTTAAAAGCTTTATTTAAAATATATAACATAAAAAATATTCCTTTTAAAAAGTTAATAAATCAAACAATTCTATTAAATAATTAAAAAAAAATTATGAAAACATAAATAAAAATACATAAGTAATTTAATAGTCTAATCATTAATAAATATATTAAGAAAAGAATGCCATAAAAAATTAAATAAAAAATAGTTTTTTAAACAAAAAGGATAAATACTATAATTAATAAAATTATGATAATAATATAATCAAAAAAATATAAATTTAGTAAAAATAATTAAAAAATTAAATAATAAAAAATATAATAATGGAAAATATATAAAATATATAATTAAAAAATATTTCATTTTAAATTATATATTGATATCAATATTAATAGTAAAATTTATAAATTTATAAATTTAATAAATATAAAAATATAAAAAAAAAAAAACATATTATTTAATTTGAAATTATAAAAATTTATAAATAAGATTATATAAATAAAAAATTATTATTATTATCATTTCAAATTAAATTTAGGATTAGTGAAAAGCTATTATAAATTAATTTCATTTTATTCATAACTATCATCATAACTTATAAAAATATGAAATTATAAGAAATATATAAAAGTATATATATAATATATAAATATATATATATATATATATTTATATATTTATATATATTTTTACTTTTCATAAGAAAATCCTTAAAAATTATTTTTTTTCGAATTCCTTTCAAATTATTCAAATGGAGTGTCACAACTTTTTTATCTAACAAAATCCTATTATATAAATCTTTTCATTATCATACATTTATTTTTTAATAATAAAAAGAAGTTTAAAATACCTAATCTATATTACTCAAATCATATCTATTACATATTTTAGGGATAAAAGGTGGCTCAACTTTGAGTTAAAGAAATGATTCCCAATCAATATTTTTAAAAAATGAATGATTTTAAATATCTTATGCTCCATTTGGTCCATTTCCCAATCTTAAATTTTTCTTTATTTATTTTTAAATAAATTAATAATTTTTTAAACTTAAATACATCTCTTTATAATAGTCCCTTTAAAAAGTCTTAACATTCTACTGATAAATTTTTACCTAATTAAACGTCTGTTTTCTTAATATTTTCTATCATATCTTTTTAATTTTTGCTATAAAAAGGAGGAGCTCCATTAAGCATTTCATAAATAACGGCCCCCTAAATAAAAAATAATAAATATTATTTAAAATTTAGAAAAAAAAAAAAAAGTATTACATAACTCCACCAATCTGTTGAAAAATCATGTCCTTCCTTTTTTAACATTTCCGGAGACATATATTCCGGTGTTCCACAATAAGTATAAGTAAGTTATTTATCTATTTTATTAATTTAGTAATAATTAATATTATTTTATAAATAAAAAATTACTTTTAAATTAAGATTTAGATAATCCAAAATCTGTCAATTTAATATTTCCTGATGAAGTTATTAAAATATTTTCAGGTTTTAAATCTCTATATAGGATTTAATTTTCATGTAAGGTTTTTATTGCTAAAAATATTTCAACAGCGTAAAATTTAACTTTATTTTCAGGAAAACAAGGATGTTTTACCATATGGTTAAATATATCCCCTTTTTTAATATTTAAATAGATAATTTATACACTTATTTAATTTTTATTTTTTTACAAATATATTAATAAATTAAAATAACCTCCTTAACAAAATTCCATTACAATGTATAGTTTAACTGAATTCTAAAATGCGTATTTTACTTAAACTATAAAAGGACTTTCTATATTTACTAATATATTTCTTTCTGTTTAAATTTAGTTTATTTATTTTTTATTTTTGAAATTAATTTTTTTTAATATTTTTATAGCATAAGTCTTTTCTTTTATTTTTTAATTATTAAATTTTATCGTTTTTTTTTTTAAAAAATAAATAATACGATTGTCCTTTTTTTATATCAAATATACTTTACCAAATGTACCTGTACCTATACACTATTTTTTTTTTTAAATAAAAATATATATTTTTGTAAAAAAAATTGATTTATTTTATAACTTTTATAAACTCAAAATCATTTAAACTAACTTTCTATTTGTATTTATCTTCTTTTTATCCTTAAATTTTTATCGGTATTACTTCGTCTTCATTAAATTAAGTTTTATTGAATTTACAAATTCCCATTATTATAAAATTATATTTAAAAATAAAATAAAATAAAATAAAATAAATATTTATTTGTTTATTTTTTTCTATATTTTTATTGTATTTATTAATAAATTTTTTTTACCATATTATATAATTTATAAGTATCATTTATTATATCTTTAAAATATGATTTTTTTTAAAAAAATAAATAAAAATACATAATATACCTAATAAATATAAATTAAATACATTTTTTTTTTTTTTTCTCAGTAGTATTATTTTTATAAAATTTAGAATAAAATTTATGTATCTACTGGTTTTGAAATATGTTCATTAGCCCCAAAATCAATACTTTATTAAATATCATCCTAGCTAATATTAGCACTATTTACAATAATAACAGCTGGTTTTATTTACTATTATTTTTCATATTATCGAATAAGTTTAATAGATTCATGTCCATTCATAATAGGCATTTTAATATCCATCAAAATTAAATCATGATTCTATTGTTAATAAAGATCAAAAGCTTCTTATCCATTTTATGCTGAATCGATTTAAGACTTTATATCTTTAAAAATATATTTAAGTACTATAATATTAAAACAAACATCATCGACAATAAGAATTTTTTTTAAATGTACTTCAAGTTATGAACTTACAATATTAAAACTATCTTTTTTTTCATATTTATATTTTTAAAAATAGCTTTAATGTACTTACTCCTTTTAATCACATTAATATTTCTTTACTAATTATTCTACTGAAAGGCAAGAAAAATTTGTTTAATTTTCATTTAAATCATCATAGGAAACGCTTTTATTTTAAATACTTCTATATTCTTATAAAAATTAAAAATTTAACATATTTTCTAATTATATAACATCAATTGTATTCATATTCTCATTCTTATTATTCATATCTTGATATAAAAGAAAAGTAAAAATAGACCCTTTATTTTATTATGAAGTTAAAAATATTTTATTTAAAGGACCTAATTAAGAAACCAATTATTTGCATAAAGATAATCCTAATCCTACTCCTATATTTTATTTTTATAAATAAAAAAAATAAACTTAAAATAAAAACCTTATTTATTATTTCCATCAAAATGATCAAAAGTAGAGAAAACCGAAAATAATTTATCTTATAAATAAACAGGAATTCCACATCCTGTATCCTAAACACTTATAGTAATAATATTTTGATTAGGAATTTAAAATGCCGAAATTCTAATATTTCCGTTTTAAGTAAATTTAATGGCATTAGAAATTAAATTAATTAATATTTATTTGATCCTATTTTTATCGGAATTTAGACTTAAGTTACTATCAATTGAAATTTCAACTTTGATATTTTTTTCAGCACTTTAAATTTTAAAAAGCTAAAGCATTTACCCAAATATTGAATCTAATTAGAATTAATTTATAACCAATCGAAATTTTCCAGCCTGAATTTATTAAGAATCTAAAATATCATTAATTAAACTCATTAACAATTCACAGTTAATCTAAATCATATTTTATAACTCTTTAATATTTTACAAACTCATTTCATTTTGGCATTATTCAGAAGTTATTTTAATGAAATTTAAAGGAGTCCGTAAATCATGAGTAATAGATGCTAAAGTTAAATCTTTATGTTTTTAAACCTATTCTAATCTTTTATTCACTATAGTATTACTTATATCATTAAATAACACTATTACTGATTATAATCCATCCCATTATATACAAATAATAGTAATATCAAAATACTTCTATTATTTAATATCATAACATTCAACAAATTCATATATTTTTTCCTCGTTAATATCATATTATTCATTAACGTTTAACTTTTATTTTTATAAAATTGATGCAGATTTTTCATATAAGGAAATTTTTTAGAAATGAACTGTTTCATATTGGTACAAAATCATATTAATTATTTGAAAAATGTTAAGTTTTCCTTTATATATATTTTTAATTTTTTCTATTATATCTTATCTTTTATCAGAAAATGTTTATTTAAACTTTTTATTTATTAAGGAAAATTTAAGCTTTTCTTGATTTTAATTAGCTTCATTAATCTTTTGTCTTTATAAAAAAATACTCTTTTATTATTTTGTATTTGGAAAAGGATTTTTTTCTGTATATTTGTTTTATTTATGCGGAATATTTTATTCAATTGAAAATTATTTTAAAAAACTTTATTATTAGTTCCCTTTTATAGTTTCATTAATTTACATACTTTCCTATACTTTTGAAATAATAATAAGCTCATTTGGCAAATAAACTTCGAAAATCTATTTATAATCCAATAGTTTTTTCTTTTAGAAATATTCTAAATGAAATTAATACTTATTATTTCTTTCCTATAAATAAAAACAAATACAAATTATAAAAATATAAGCAAAATGACAAACAAACAAACTCATAGAATATTCTTAAAATCCTTCCGCTACAGGTAAAACAATTAAAGGAATACTAATTTTTATGCTTTTTAAATACCAATTATGAAAAATTAAACTAACAATAAATATATAAATACACAATCCGAACCCATAACAAACAAACACATTTTCACTTTGTTTATTTCCACTTTCGAATTTCAATTAATGCAAAATTAGAGATTATGATATATCATAAATACTTGTTTAAACTAATAATAATATTTTAAAAATTTTTCTTTATTTTCTGTAATAAAATAAAAGAAATATAAAAATAAACATATTTATTAATATTATTAAAAATTAGTTTTATTATTCATAAACAAATTTTTAGACAAAAATACTTATTGTTTGCCATATTAAAGAAAAAATTACTAACTTTTATATTATAGGTTAATTTTAATCATTTTTTATTTTATAATAATAATCGTTTTCTATTATATCTATGAAATTTAATGTATAGGGATTTATTTTGAATTTTATCATTTTATTTTAATTCATTTTTTTTTTTAATTTTATATATTTTTTTTCTCTAAGAAATTTATAAAATTAATGCAATTTATTGTATAAATTTTAAAAATTATTATTTGCCTTACTTTGATAATAAATATTTGATTAGTAATGAAAATTATTTTATATTTAATTAATTTTTTAATATGCTAAAATGTGTTATTTTATTATGTATATTTATTATATATAAAAATTTATCTATATTTTATTAGAATTCAAGTCTTATAAATATTTCAAAACAAAAAAATATATTATTAATTTTTTTATGCGGAATGAAATTATAATAACAATTAAAGTTTTAAATCTAGCAATAAAAATTAAATCAATATTTTTTAAAAACATTTATTAAATAATAATAAATAAAACTATCTATTTTCATTTTAATATTTATTTTAAAACTTTATCAATTCAATTATATATCTTATAAAAATTAAAATTTTTAATGATATTAAAATATATATGTTATTATATTTTTAAAAAATGAAAAAATACATTAAGAATATTTTTTAAATTAAATAATTTTAAAAGTTATAACATTATTTATTGTTTATTATTAAGAAAATTTTATTTATTTTATTTTAATTTATATTACTGCATTTTCTATTAAATTTATTTAAAGATTCACAAATGATATAATGTAAATTATTTTTTGAAAAAATTAAATAAATAATTTATCATTATAAATTTTTTTTAAATTAGATTATAACAGAAGCCTAAAAAAATATCAAACCAAAAAAACTAAAAATTTTTATACAAACAAAAATAAATTAAAATAAAATTATTTAATATAAATTTAAAATATTTAAATTATTAATTTATTTATATTTTATAAAATAAAGAATTTATAAATAGTTTTATTAAATAATATTTAATTATTTTATAATTAATAAAAAATTAATATATAAATAATTTTATTAATAAAAAATTAAAAATATAAGCTAACTCATTTAAATTTATATTTCAAAGGAACTTAAAAGAAATGATTAACTAATTTTTTATATTTTTTTATTCTACAAAATATGGTTAAATTATATTAATTTTACTATAAATAATTTTTTTGGATTTATATAAATATAAGTTTTATTTAATCCGCAGGTTTCGTTTAAACTTTATTAAAAATTTAAATTTTAATATTATTATATAAATTATATTTTCCTTATTTTTTAAACAATCAATTAATTAAATTTATTTAAATTACTTTGAAAATATAATCCTTAGAACTTGTAAAACTATAAATAAATAATTTTTATTTATTAATTATATTTTTTGTTTTGTATACTATTAAATAAAATTTATTTTATTTAAAAAATTTTTTAATTTAAAACTAAAAAAATTAATTAATTTATATACATATTATATTAAATTATTATACTAAAATATTCTTTTGTATTTTACTAAGGAACAATTTATAATTTAAGGAAATTATAATATTAAAATCTTTTTATTTTTGTAAAAATAATCCTTTAATATTATAAATTAACTCATTTTTGATAAAAAAGTAAATATTTTACATTTTATCAATATAAAATTCTTAAATATTTTATTTATTCTTTTTTTATAAATTAAAAATTCTTTTCTATAGAATTTTTTCATTCCCAAACTAATTTTTTTATTTTTTGCATTTATATTGTTTTTTTCATTTAAAACTATTTTTTTCTCTAAATTAGTATTTCTCTTAAAAATATATTAAATACTATTTTAAACATTATAAACAAAATGGATTAAGTAACTTTTTTTAAATTTTTTCAAATATTAATTTAAACAAAAAAATATATATAAAATTATTGTAAGAATTTTGTTTTTTTAAAAAGAGAAAATAATCTTCAAAAGATAAGTAAAATAAGTAAAATATTTTAATCTAAATTAAAACTATAATATTTTTAAAGTTCTAAAAATAAAAATTATTATTTAATAATTAAAAATTAAAAAATTGATTTTATAAAAGTTTCATATATAATCATTTAATCATTTTATAAATTAAAATAGATTAGATAATTTTTATTAAAAATAAATCTTTTAAAAATATTTTATTTTTAGTAGTTTTTTAAAGATAAAATGATATAATAAAAATCATATGTATATAAATTAATACATTTTTTTATAATAATTAAATTTCTGTTTATTTTTAGTTTTCTATAAGTTAATATATTAATAAAATTAATTTTAATATTGAATGAAATTTGAAAATTAAAATTATATTAAAATATATATATATAATAATATATATATATATATTTTATTTAAACTTATTATATTTTAAATAATTTATTTAAAACTTATTTATTATTTTAATAATTTTTAAAATATATTTTTTATAAATTTATTTTTATCAATTTATAATAGTTTATATTTTATTTACTATTATTATATTAAAATAAAAATAAATATATATTTCATATATAAATTTAAATATAAAATAAAACTTTTTATCAATAAAATTAATACTCTATTCATTTTTTCTTTATACTTTTTCTAATAGGAATAGCTTTTTAATTATTAGAATTTAAAGGAATTTCTTTAAGTTTTTCTAAATAAGGTTCTATATATTCTTCTAATTCTTTAGCTGCTTTATAATAGACAGTATCTGGTTGATTATAAAGTTTAGCATTTGCAAAAATTTTCCTTATATCTTTAATGAATTAATCTTTATCTAAATATTAATTGTTTTATAACCTTCTTTCAATAAGTTTTATATCAATAGGATCTGTAATAATATCATAATAATCTGGTACATCGTCTTTATTAACTGGATCTGTAAAAGGCCATGATTATTTATGTCTTTTTAAATTTTCGATTACATTTGCACATTATAAATTAAAAGATCTTTCCTTTTAATTTTTTAATTCTTAATAATCCGCCCATTCCCATCCACTTTATTTTATTCCTGGAATTTCTAAAGGATCGACTAAAGGTTAACTTTCATCTCCTTCTTTTTCCTCTTCATTTTTTTCAACTTATATAGCATTTCTTATTAATTTAGCATAATTAACACCCGAAAATACTTTTTCATTTAAACATAATTTTTTTATTCTTTCAATTAAAATCTTTTAAATTTACAAACAAAAATCAAATAAAATAATTTTATTTTTACTTCCTTTTATTTCTAAATAATCTTAGATATATCCGAATAATCAATATAAGGATGGATATAGCATTCCATTAAAGTACCTCCGTCATAATCTTTAATAAATCCTTTCCATCTTTCCTATGGCATTCTATGTTCTTTACTAAACCCCTATTTTTTGAAATATCCAATAGCAAAATTATCCGCATATGTCAATAAATACTCAATATCTTATTATTACATATATTCCTTAAATTTATTCATTAAACGAGTCCCATATCCTCTCACTTATTCATTTGCAGTGACTGCTAAAAATGCTATTTCGGCAAATCTTTGACTTTTATATTATCTATAACATATTCCACCTATAACTTTTTAATTATTCTTAAATATTACCATAGATTCATGATGACGATCAAATATTAACTTCACTATATATTCTTTGGGCATTTTTGGAAGTTAGCGGGAAAATATATTTTTTAAATCTATTAATAATTTCATGTTTTCTAAATTACCATCATTCCTTAATATTTTATAGTCTAAAATTCCTTAGTCTTCTTATACTTTTGCGCCTTAATCTCTAGTGGCAAATCCTAGGCCAGTAATCTATTTAAAATTTTTTTTTTTTATTTTTTTTTATTCTTTATATATTTATTTACTTCACCATTCATTCCAACAAACATTGTTTCTTGCGAATTTTGTGGATTTTGTTAATCTAATTATAATGGCTTATCTTAATTACCTTTTTAAATTTTTTTAAATACTAAATATATTAATGGTTTTAATATTATTTTTTTTATATTTTTTCTTTTACTCATTTTTTTTTTTTTTTTTTTATAGGATTATTTGTTTATTTTTATTTTTTAGCTTATTTGGGTGATTTTTTTTTATTTGTTATTATTATATATAATTTTTTTAAATTATACAATGTAGAAATATAATGAGAAAAAAATAAATTTTATTAAAAAAAAAATTGAAATTAGTATCTATCTATTTATTAATATCTAAATATTAAAAAAATAGTATAAATAATAATTGTATATTATATATGTTTAATTTAAAAACAAAACAAAAATTAATATTATTTTTTTATTAATATAAAAAAATAAAATATCGCTTTAAAATATTTAAAAATTATTATTTTAAAAATTTTAAAAATAAAGTTTTTATTTAATTTATATATACTTTAAAAAAAAATAAAAAAATAGAATATAAAAAAAAGATTAGTAATATTTATTAAATAACTTTCTATATGTATTTGAAGTATTTAATTAAAAAAAAAATATATCAACAAAAATTATGAATAAAAAAAAAAATAAAAAGAAAAATTTTATATAATAATAATAAACAAAATAAAATATATATTAATGAATTAAAAAAAATATAAATATATAAAAAATAAAAATAAAAATAAATACATAAATAAATATATAATTAAATATACTAAATTAATATAAATAAAATTTTTTAATAAAAAATTAAATATATATTTATATTTATTCACCTTTAAACATTTTTTTAGAAATTTTAATAATATAAAACAATATACTTTAAATGTTTTATATATATTTATATATGTATATATTTATATATATATATATATATATTCTTTTTTTTTATTTTTTATATATGATTTTTTTTTAATTCTTTATTTCTTTTTTATATTTATATTAAAATAATATATATAATTTTTTCTAATTATATATATTACTTTATTATTATATTCAATATAATAATGTTAAAAATATTTTAATACGATGATATATTATTATTAATTCTCTAATATTTAAATATCTATGATATTCGAAATTTCCGTCTTGTAAATAAAAACTTAAACGAATAACTTAATCCAAAATCTCATTTTTACTTTACTTTAATAAAAATACTTGTAAAAAACTACACTTAATTAAAAAACTAAGCCTTAGATCATCATAAATATATTGAAATATTTTAAAAAATTTAAAAAAATTGATTTTATTTAACTTCCTTTTTACGGATATTAATCTACAGGCGGTTTCGATTAATAAATAATATATTGGATAGATACAATTTTTTTAAAAGGAAACTGGTCAATATGCTCTGATGTTGGTAAAAATATAAATATAGCAGGCGGTATAATACAAAATAATTAAAATATATACAAAATATATGCCTAGAATTATATTTTAATTGAAACCTTATAAAATAGTATGAGTGATGAGTTGAGAAATGTATTCCCATTTAATTTATTGGAAATATAGGAAATTAAAAGGAGAATTTTATCTTCAAAAATAAAAAATAATGAATATTTGAGAGAATTTTATCAAAGAATCGAGGAAAAACATCACTTTTTAAATGAAAATAAAGAATAGAATATTTCTCTTATTTAAATAGCTTAAGATTTATTTTAGAAAGATAATTTAAATAAATAATTAATTTCTAAATTAAAAAAAGATTCGGAAGTATAATTCGATTTAGAAATTAATAATATTATTTCAGGATTCTAAATCAATAGGGAAGGACCTTTTACTTGTCCAGTTTAAACTTTAATGCTTTTTGGAAGTAATTAATATATAGATGTCTTTAATAACCCTATTTTACCTATATTTGATGATATTAAAGATACTGTGAGCCTAAAAGATGTTTGTTAAGAGTAAAAAATATCAATTTTGTATAGTAATGTGGATAATTTTTAAAATAAACATCATATATAAGAAAAAAAAATAATGGCTATGATTTTGTTGTATTTTCAAATAAAAATTAAAGCCAAGTCTTTCCTATAGCTTGGGTTTAATTTAAAGAAAAGAAATTAAATAAAATATAAATTGATTTACCTAACTTTTAATATTTTAATGTAAAATTTATATGCGTAAAACTTATTGAATGTGATAATAGGACTATGAATAATGCAGAAACAAATATAGATTTAAAATACATATCTTTTAAAGGCTTTTAAATATGAAAAAAAAAAAAAAAGAAAATATAAAAATAATTAAAATATTATATATATATATTTAATTAACAATATGAATTTATAATAATAATAATATATAAAATTAAAATTATTATATATTTATATATAATCAATTTTTTAAACTATTTTTAAGTTATAATTCATTTAAATTAGTATTAATTTATGGTATTTATTATTTTGTACTGTCATCTGTTTCAAAAATATTATCAGAATCATCAATATTTTAATTATTTATTATACTGTTTGTTCTTTATTTTTTAAAATTGCTTTTTAAGATTTTTTATTTTTAACATTTTATTTAATTATTTATAACAAACTCTTATTCTTCTTCTTAACTTTTTTATGTATTTTGATCGACTTTTTTATATTCGAAGATTTATTAAGATATTTAATTATATTAGTCTAAATTGATTTTATTTTGATTAGATTAATTATCTGAAAGAAGATTAATATTATCTTATTCAATATTATTATTATTATTATTATTATTATTTTTATTATTATTATTATTATTATTATTATTATTATTATTATTTTTAACATTTTTTTCTTTATTTGAACTTTCACTTTCTGAACTTATAGAAATACTTTTGAATTCTTATTAGCTAATATTATCTTTATTACTTTATATTTTCGAGTTTTTTTCATTTTCGATATACTATTATACATTATTATTTAGATTTTACCTTAATTAATATAAAACTTATGTTTAAGCGTTATTTTTTTTAGAAAGGGAATAAAAACGATTTCTTTAAACTGATTTATTATCAGATATTAACACTGTTTATCCTCTATTAAATTTAGTAGAGTTATTCATTTATTTATTAACTTAAAAACTTCCTATTTAATTCATTGAACATAATTATTAAGTAAATTTATTTTAAGTATTTTCAACTCCAATTTTATTAAATAATATTTCTTCATTACTTCTTTATTAACGATTATTATTATTAAATGAAATAGATATAAACTTATCCTTTTAAATTTGAATTTTTTCTTTTTATTCTAATTCTACATAATTCTTTATTACTTAATAAAGATTCATTCTTTATACCATTTATGGACTTCCAGGTGATTATTATATACTAATTTAATTATTTCCTTAACATTATTATTCATTGGTAGTTATTTATGCTTAATTATGTTTTTTTTAGCAATTTTGAATAGTTTTTTTTTAAAATAATGTCTTTTTTCTAATTTTTTAATTTATTTATATATATTTTGTACTTTAGATATAAATCTGTCTTTAAAATGCAAATTTTTAAAATTTTCAAGTTTCTCTTTTTCTTTAAATTCTTCGAATTATTTATATGCTATTTTTTAAAAAATATCAGCGAAATTCTCCTTTATTTTTCTATTTAGAAAAACTCTGTAATTACTATATTCGAAATTCTCGCTAAAAGACTTCATTTTTTTCTACATTAAGGCTATTAAAATACCAATTCCGAAACCTATTAATATAATTAAGGAATTAAAGTAAATATTCTCGTTTATTTATATATTATATTCATGAAATTCTCCAGTACTTTTTAATTAAGAGTTCTTCTATATTGATTATTTTAGCAAAATATTATATTCATCTTTAGAAAAAAAACTTTTTGATAAAATTAGGTTATATGAGTATTCACTATAGTCCAATATTCCATTATTATTTGTATATTTATCTTTATTTTCAATATATTGATAAGTGTCCATAATCAAATAAGTTTAATAATCACCACCTTTCTGAAAATAAGTATAAGTATTTGGATTATTATCCAATAAAATAAGCTTGTCGACTCTTCCCAAGATTAATTTGGAGATAAGAATTGAATAATGAAAAAACAAAAAGTACGAGACTATAAAAAGCAAACATTTTTAAAATAATAGTTTATACAGATTATCAGCTGATTTATTAACAAAAGTACAAATAGAATAAACTGTTTTATAAAAATCAAAAACTGTAAAAGAATCTTTATATAAATTTATTAATAATCCAGTAATTAAAGGTACTATAAAGACTGAAATATAAAAAATGTCATTTAAATAAGAATATATTCTATAGTCTATACTTTATTTAAGTCCTCTAGGATAAACGAAAAAATAACAGAAATATACCATTTGTAAAGATTAATAATAATTTTCATTTTCTAAATAAAAATCAGTTATCCCACCGAATATACCAGAGTACTTTTATGAATAGTCCTCAAATTGGTTTTTTTCATTTAAATTTGACATACATTCGAATTAGAGGGTGTCAGTTGTTTTTAATATTAGGTTTTACATCTGGGTTTTTATTTAAATATATTCTGGGTCTTTATATTATTCGGAACATAACTCGTTTTTTGTAATTAAATGGATGAATATGTAGTCTTTTTGAATTGATAAATTTAATAATAAAACTAAAAAATATAATATATAGTAGTATTGAAACATTTTTTTATTATATTTTTTATGATATTGATATATTTTTTAGTTTTTGTTTTGCTTATATAAATATATATATAAATATTTTTTTTTTTAATAAAATAAGAAAAAACTCTATTATTTTATATAACTTTTTATTTAATTTATAAATTTTAATTTAATAAATATGATTAAAATATTAATATTAACATAAATTTTTATATTTAATTGTAGTATTATTTAAATGTTTAAATAATTAAATCAAAAATTTATAATTTTTATAAAGTAATCATATATTATAGTATATAAGTATTTCTAGAAATTATATTAGAATTTAATTATAAATATTAGACTTATATAATTTATAATTAATATTATTAATTTTAAAAAATAAATAATATTTATAAAAAAAATGATAATTATTTATAATTTTTTTAAAATTTATTAATAATAAAATATAATAATATTGTAACAAAATATATATTATTTTTAATAATCAAAAATATATCTTAAATCTTTAATTTTTATTAGTATAATTTAAATTAAAAAGAATAAAAATTTATAAAAGTAAACATATTTATTTTAAATATTTAAATATTATTATAGAATTTTTTAAAAACAATCTATAAAAATAAAACATTTATATGATTATATTTAATATTGAATTCTTTTAAACTATAAAATATAATTAATCTTATTTAAAGTAAGAATATTTATTTATTTTAAAATTTTTAATATCAATTTATTATATATTATTTATAAAAAAAAAATGGGGTATAATGTTTTTATTTTATATTTGTTTATTTATTAATATTTGATATTAAATTTTTATAAGAAATCAAATATTTTATTAAAAAAATGTATTAAATCTTTTGTTAATTTTAAATTAACAATAAAACTATAAATAAAACAACAATTAAATAAAAATAAAATTAAGAGTAAATATATAAATTATATAATTATTTAGTTTTTTAAAAATATATAAAAATACAGAAATTTTTTAATATGGGATTTTCGAAAAATTCATATTCTAAATTTGAATTAACATTTTAAATTACAAAAACAAATTATATTATTAATTTAAATATATTATTTTTACTCTTTTTTTAAAAAAATAAATATTAATTATAAAAATAATGATTATAAATCAAAATTTATATAATATAAAAAAATAAAAATAAAAATATATTTATAAAATGTTTAATAGATTAAATTATATAATACATAATTTTGAAAACTATTAAAATAAATAAACAAAAGAATATTATAAAATAATTTAATTGATTGATTTAAATATTAATAATTTTAGTTTTAATCAAAATTTTAATATATAATATATTTATTATATATAAATAAAATAATAAAATAATAATAATTTTAATGTTTATATATTAATAAAAATAAGTTTAATATTATTTTTATTATTAAAAGTAATAATATGTATAATTAAAATAATCATATTAATATTAAATAAAATATATTTAATTTATATTTGTAATTAATATTATTATTACCTTTTTTTTATTTATATTTATATTTATATTATAAAATATAAAATTAAAATATATATTATAATGTATAAAATATTTTTAAATTTATTTAATAAATAAAAAAAATTATATATTATATTATATTTTTCTTTAATTAATAAATTTAGCGAATTTTTAAATATTTATTTTATTAAAAATAATACAAAAATATTATTTTAAATTAAAAATATTATAAATATCTTATAATAAAAAATTTATAATATTAATATATATATTATAAAAAAATATTAATTACTAATAAAATCTGATAAAACTACTTTTTTAAAAATTTCTATATATTATAAATACATAAATAAAATATAATATATATTTAAATTACATATTTATATATTTTCTTTTCTGCAATCTTCTTTTTTAAAAACAAAAATAAATAATTAGCACTATATTTACTGATAAAATTGAATTGAAAAAAATTTGTATAAAAAATAAATAAATATGTAATATGTATTTCATATATATAAAATATAAACATAAATATATATATAAATATATATATTTATATCTTTATATTTAAATATATATATTTATATATTATAATTATCGTTTTATATATATTTATACCTAATATAATGGAGTAATTATAAATTATTCCTGACAATTTTTTCTGTCCTATATCTAATAAACTAATGTAAAATCCTTATACAGACCCTTAAAACTACACTTATGATTATGATGCTATTCTCGAATATTTGAATAAATTCTAAATATCCCCATATACCGGAAATCCTTTATATATTTCAGACTTAAAGCCTAATTAAGACCTAAAACATTAAATAGATTAATTAAGAGATTAAATTCCTGACGAAAATAAATATCGTGAAACTTCCTTATCAATTAAAAACTATAAAAAAATAAACCCTTAAATCCTTCTTAAATTTTCCAAAAAAAATACTACTTATTAACTATCTATTACTCCACCATCTTCTAATATCCCCAGACCTCCCAACTACTTCGATATATGTTGCGTAATTGACGTTTCAGGCTCTATGAATGACGAAGCTAGAATTTAAGGAGATACTGAAAGTGCAGGATTGTCTGTTTTAGATATCGTAAAGCATTCCGTAAAGACAATTATAGTCAACTTAAGGCCAGAAGACCGTTTATCAATCGTTACATTCCACTCTTAAGCTAAAAGAGAAATAGAATTAACATATATGGATAAAAAAGGAAAGGAAAAAGTATAAAATTGCCTCGATACTTTAACTCCTTTAAATTCTACTAATTTATGGTAAGGCTTAGAATATGGTTTGGATGTATTAAACGAAAAAAATAGTTAAAATTTAAATTTTTTAATGGTTTTTACTGACGGAGTTCCAAATATTAATCCACCAAGAGGTCATTTATAAATGTTATAAAAATACAGAAAAGATAATAAAGAAAAAATAGAAAATTGTATAATTAATATGTTTGGTTTTGGTTATAATTTAGATTCTGAATTATTAAATGAATTAGCTATAGAAGGAAATGGAGCTTATGCTTTTATTCCAGACGCTTCTTTTGTAGGAACTGTTTTCGTAAATGCATTCGCTTAGATGCTTTCAAGTGATTTTCTTGGAGGTAAAATATAGATAAAGGAAGGGAATAAAAATTAAATAATTAAAGAAATAAAGATTCCTTAAATAAATTTTGATTAATAAATAGATATTATTATTTAATAGGAAGAAATCTAATAAAAATATACATTAGATAAAAATAACCTCTAAGCCATTTTATTAGAAAATACCTAAATTTTGACTTAAGTAAATTTAGAAGAAATTGATGAAAATTAAGATATTTAATTCGAAAAATAAATTCTAAGAGATTTATTTATTAAATAAATAAGAGAAAGTATGCATCTTTAAAAAAAAAGCCTAGAGTAATCTTAAAATTAAATCTAAAATTTAAAACAGATCTTAGAATCTTCTATAGCTTGCAGAGAACCTTATATAATAGATTTAATAAAAGAATTAAAAGGCTAAGTGTTTGAGGCTTTCGAAAACATAAATAACTACAAAAGATGGGGAAAACATTATTTATTATCTCTAACAAGAGCACATGAATTGTAGTTTTGTAATAATTTCAAAGACCACGGTATATAGCATTATGCAGGTAATTTATTTTCATAGATAAGAGATTAGGCAGAAAAAATTTTTTTAAAAATACCTCCACCAATACCTTCTAATTAAAATAGAATTCATTATTTAAATAATAATAATAATAATAATAATAATAATAATAATAATAATAAAATTAGAATTAAATTTAAAAATATAGATAAAGTAAACATGTAAAAATTTTATAATGTAAATGGTGGTTGTTTTTCTTAAAATTCAATAATTTATATGGCAGATGGATCTAAAAAAGAAGTTTAATAAATTAAAAAAGGAGATTAAATTTTATGCAATAATGATAATAAATATTCTAAAGTTATTTGTGTTATAAAAACCAATTCTTAAGAAGTTTCCTTTATTAAAATTTCTGATGAATTATCATTAACACCATATCATCCTATATTTTTTAATAATAAATGGAAATTTCCTATTCATTTAAAAAAAGCTGAAAAGTTATAATAGTCAGAATATATGTATGATTTTGTACTAGAAAATGAACATACTGCTCTAGTTGGAGGGTATAAATGTGTCACTTTAGGTCATGAACTTAATGAAGAAGTAGTAAAACATGAATATTTCGGCACAAAAAAAATTATAAATGATCTTATGAAATGTAAGGGTTGGAGTTAAGGACTAGTATAATTAAAGGAAAAATAATTTATAAGAAGTAAAATTAATAATAAAGTTATTAGTATTAATTTTCAAGAAATTTTATGATATTAAAATTATAAAATATTTATACATATTGTTATATTTAATATTAAAATAAAATTAATAATAATTAGAAAAAGAAAATTTAATATATTTTTAATTTTAAATATAATTATTATTAAAAAATTATTAAAAAAATATATAAATATATATATATATATAATTTATATATTTAAATTTATAAATATTAAATATTTTTATAAATAAATTTATTTATAAATATATAAGATTTCAATATTTTATTTTAAAAATTTTTTTGTTTTTATAATTAAAAAATATTTTTACAATATTTTTTTTATTAAAAACATAAATAATTATAATATTTTTATTTATAAATTTTTATAAATTTCGAATTTTTTTTTAATCTATATTATATTTTTTTTATTATATTAATTTTTTAATAACATTTTATTTTAAATTATATATGTATTATTTTTTATATTTCTATTTTTTTTTTTTTTTAAACTATATAAATTATTTTTTAATTTTATTTATTAATATAAATATATAATATTTTTTTGTTTTTTATTTAATTTAATTTATTTTTACATAAAAGTATTTATAAATAATACTATTAAATAATTTTTTTTCATTAATTAAGAATAATAAATATTTTTTTTAAAATTGAAAATAAAAATTTTTAAATTAAATTTTATTTATTTTTTCATAATTTAGAATTTTAAATTTTATTTTATGATTCAAAAAATTATTTAGCTTTTCTTATAATTTTTTCACCTAATTCATAATTAATTTTTTAGCTCCAAATATTTTATATAGTTACTTTTCCTACATAAAATCCAAATGAACTGGGATATATCCTAACACCATTAGGTCCACTTAAATAATAATCTATTTAAGTATTACTCTAATAGACAGCAAGCTATCCGAAAACAGGTATTAAATTACCATCATTAAATAATACAGACGAGCCTAATCCAGTACAATTAAAAATGTATTTTTAATTTAATAAATTAATTTAATTTAAATTATTAAATTTTTAATTTATAAAAATTACTCCTTATTATTTACATTCATTCATAAGTTCATCTAAGAAAATATCTCCTTCAACTTAAATAGAATTGAATTTTTTAGCTTCATATACAGTATGATTTTTTCCAAATTTAATTTTTATTTTTTGCATATCAGTTATTATATTATCAGGAAGGCATTCTAATGTCTCCTGATCATCATCAATTTATATTACTTTTAAATATTTTAAACCTTTGAATCTATAAAGATAATTATATATATATATATATATATATATATATATATAATTATAAATAAAAATATATATATATTTATATTTCTTTTATTTTACATAAATATTTTTTATAAAATAATTATAGTTGATTAATAATTAATAATATAGTTTTTGAAAATAATAAAACTAAATATAAATTATATATAATACTTTTTAATTTCTAATTCTCGTTAGTAATATTTGAAAGTTTCCATAGATGCAAATTTATGATTTTCCCATTGTTCCTTAGTTTTATTAAATTCATAACCAAAAGGCATCCAGTATCCTCCTGCTATTTATGAAACTATTATAGTATTATCTCTCTCTCCTTTTAATATTTATTATATGTCTTTTTTTACATATTCTTCCGCATAAACCTTTACTTTATATCCAAACTTAGAAAAAATAAATGCTGTGAATAAGCCTAAGTATCCACCTCCTAGTACTGCAATTTCTTTTTCGTTATCATATCGGTATTATTCTATGAATTTATAGTATTATATCAAAGCATAACCGTATGCGGTAGATACTCCAGCTCCTCCATGACCGTAGTTGTGGAATATTATTTTATTGTTTATTTTTTCAACGTTTAAATTTACTCCACCTTTTCTGTAAGGTCTTAAACCTGTTTTAAAACCGAGAAAATTACTCGAAGAAAAATCAGGAATTTATAAAATTTAAATTTCTTAATTTTACATATTTTTATTATTATAAATAAAGAGTTTAAAAATTGAAGAAAATTTTAATTAATTAAAAATAATTTAATAAATATTTAAAAAATAATATTTTAAATTAATTTAAATATTTATTTTTAATATTAATATTTTTATCTTTTTAAAAGAAATGTAAAATTAAAAAGAAAAATAAACAAATTATTATTAAATAATTTTATATTATTATATAATTTTTTTATATATTTGCATGCAATGATGATTAAAAGAATAGATATATGAATAGCATATTTTTTATTCCGAAAACTATTTCAAGAAATTTTCTGAAATATTAAATATATGTATTATGATTCTAATAATATAAATGAGCGATGCAAATATATATATAAATTTATATTCATATATATTTATATATAAATAATTCTATATAATATATATATATATATATATATATATAATATATTTATATAAATAAATATATATATACATTTATTTCTTTATATATTAAAAAAAATATTATAATAGTTTTATTTATATAAAAAATATATTACTTATGTTTGTTCATTTACATAAATTAAATAAAAATACTTTTAGTTATATAATAAATATAAAGAAATAATAATTTAAAATATATATCTTTTTTTATATTAAAATTTTGTTATTTTATCTTAAGAAATAAAAATAATAATAATAAAACATATAAATATTTTATAATATATATATATTCATAAATAATATTAGATATTATAAATTCATTCACAAAATAAAATATCTTAAAAATTTCTTCCCCATCCTTAAACATCAACTCCATAGCCAACAATAAATTTGGGTTCTATTTCAATTCCAATATAATCCATTTATAAGTTTTGAACTTTCAATTGATTTTATTTTAAAATAAAACTACATGTTTTGACACTTTTAGGATTTTATAATTTGATACATTAGAGTAATTTATCCATTGTATAACCACTGTCTATAATATCTTCAACTATTATAATATGTCTGCCAGATATTTATTATTTAAGACCAGATAGTTATATATTTTCTTCACCTGTTTCTTCATTTTTTTATTTTAATATTTTACAGAATTCTATTTCTAATTAGAGAAAGTCTACATTTCTAACTAAATCACTACAAAACATAAATGCACCGTTTAAAATTCCTACAAAAATCGGATTTTTATCTCTAAAATCATCTGATATTAATTTTGAAAGTTTTTTTACAATTTTTTCAATTTCTTCTTTTGTTATAAATACTTTATAAATTTTTCCATTATGTTCTATATTTTAATTATCCATTTTTAAAAATATATTATGGCAAAAATAAATAAATTAATATTATAAACTTAAAATAAATAAATAAAAATATTATAAAATTTTAGAAAGTCTAAATTTTATTTTTTTATTTATACTAAAAAAATAGTTTTTTTTTTTTTTTTTATAAAAGATATTATGTATTTTTTTTATTTTGTGTATATATATATTTATATTTATATAAATAATAAATTAAGTTTTCAATTATATAATATATTTTTTATTGCTTAATTTAAATCGCCTTATGATCTTCTTAATTATTCAATAGCTTTTATTTTATCTAAATCAAATTCGTTTTCTATAAATTTTATATCTTACTCGTTTATCTTTATTATAGCTTATCTAATTTTTTTATATTTATTTTATAATGATTTAATAATTATACTTGTCTTCTTTAAGTTATTTTAATGCCTTTTTTTTTTTTTAATTAATTTTATTTTAATATATTATTTATTACTCCTGCAGTTTATATTTCTTTATCTTCTACATAATCTGTTACACTATCTAAATTTTTATTAGTTTATTGGCTTTGTTTTGACATTTCTATTATTTTTTTTATATATTTTTTTTGTTTTAAATTCTGTATATTAATTTTATATTAAAATATTTAAAAATTAAAATAATATTATTATAAATATATATTTTTATATCCAAAAAGAATTTATTATTTCATGAAATATAAATATAAAATTTAATTTATGATTTTAAGTATTATTTTTATAGGATTTAAAACTTTTTATATACATATTAAATTTAAATTTATTAATGTAAATCGAAATATGATTACTTTTTTTGTCGACTTATTAAAAAATATTACTTATAATAAAATATAACAAGCATTTATATATATATATATATATACATATATTTTTTTTATATATTTAATAATAGAAATAAAGCGATTATTTTTTTATATATAAATCTTTATATATAAAAAGTTTATATTAAAAAAGTTTATTTATTAATTTTATATAAAGTATATAAATATTTTAATATTTGAAAATAAAAAAATTAATTTATTAATTTTTTTATATTAATATATATAAAAGGTAAATAATTTACGAGTTAAAAATATTATAAAAAAAAGATTAAATTAAAAATAGAAATAAAATAAAAAATTAAAAAAACAAAAAACAAAAAAAATACATATAAAAAAATGGGTAAAAAAATATAAAATAATATTAAAAATTTATATAATGAATATATATTAAATAAATAGGTCGTATGCATGGTACTTTAGCTAAAGCCGGTAAGGTATTAATAATATTAATAAGGGAAAAATAATATATATTTATATAAAAAAAATAAAAAATTAATAGGTGAGAAAATAAACACCAAAAGTTGATAAAAAACAAAGAGCTAAAAAAATCCCTAAAGGAAGAGCTTAAAAAAGAATTATTTATTCAAGAAGATATGCTCCACACATTTTAGCAGTTGATCCCAAGAAAAGAAAAAGTCCTAACTGGCATGCTGGTAGAAAAGATTTAATCGAAGGAGCAGCAGCAGCAGCTAAAAAATGAGAAATAATTTGTTTTTTTAGAAATAAAGAAAATATATATAAATAATAATACTAAATATATAGTTAAATAAAATTCAGTTTTTTTTTTTTTTTTTATTATGTTTGCTATATTAATTTAGTTTTTATTTAAATTTAATTATTTTTTTTTTATTTTTTTTTCCTTTCTTATTTTTTTTTTTTTTTTTTCTTTATTATTTTTAAATTATATTTTACAAACTAAATGATATTTTTACTAATTTTTCAGGGCTTTTTATATTGTAAAAAATAAAATATTATTATTTATATTCAAAAATTATTTAATAAATTCTTTTTTGTTTGTTTGTTTATATATAAAACTTTTATAATCTATTTTTTTATATTCTTTTGTTTTTTTTAAAAAAATAAATAAAAAATAAACATTTGTTAAATATGTATGTTGTTGAGAAATATATATATATATATATATATATATATATATATATATATATATATATATATATATTTATATATATATATATATATTTATAATCTTTAGTTATTTTTTTAATATTAAAAAAATAAATAAAAAAATAATCATTTAATATTTTCTTTATTATTAACTAATGGGTTTTGAGTTTTGTCTAAATATTCTTAAGTAGGTATAGGAATATCTACATTTTTTTAGTTTTTTAAGCAATACATAGCAATAAAATTTATAGGATCTACAGGTCTTTCAATATCAACTAATTTAAATGCCTTATGAAAAAATTATATTAACAAAAATAATAATATTATAATATAATAAAATAAAGAGTATTCTAATATAAAAAAACTAAAAATACAGAATAGAGCAAAGGCATAATAGTTTTTCTTAAATATTCTGCTTTTCCACATTATTATAATTTATCAAATTCTGATTTTTCTTCTTATTTAGTATCATTTTCAGAAATACCATTTTTTATTCGTTAAATCTATTTATTTTTTTAAAAAATGATAAAAAAAGCAAATATAAAAATGATAAAAAAACCTCTTCATTTCTTTTAGCTTCACAAAGATCTATTTATTTAATTAAATAATCAGGATCTTTTAAAAAATTAATTATATCAACTTTTACTAAATATTTTCCTAAAGATTTATCTATAGGTATTTATTATCCAGTTAAAGCATCTCTAATATCAACAGTAGAATATTCTTCATTATTATTATTATCATCAAAGAAAATATGTAAAACATCAAATTATTTCTAATCGATAAAAAGTGGCTTTCCGAATTAAGTTTTAAATTCGTTTTCTTACCAAAATTAAAAATCTTCATTTATAACAAATCCACCTCTCTTTTTTTTATTTTTAGATAATACTTTTTAAATAAATAATAAAATTTACTTCTTAAGTATATTAATTTATTGCTTTATATATTTAGTATGACTATTTATGTAAAACTAAAGAATCGTCCTCTATTTCTTTTTCATATTCATCTTCTAAGCTTTTATTTTTAGAAACTCTTCTTAATGTCCCACAAGCTAAAACAGAATTATTTAAATCTTATGAATATCTATATAATACTGATATGTTTCTTTCTTATATTACATAGTTCTTTTGATTTTTTTAACCGTCAAAACGTAAATTTGGTGTATTATTTTTTCCATTAAAACAAGGGTGTTCTCCTTTACAAAATCTTTATTTTATTTTATTTTATTTTATAAATATATATATATATACATGTTAAATTCAGATATTATTTTTGGTAAATCATCCTCAAAAGAATGAAAAATTATCGAAAAATCTCTTTTTAATAGTTTTAATTATATCATCATTCTAAAAAAACCGGGTAGGATTTAATATTTGCCTTCTTTAAATAATTGTAAGTATTTTTCAGGGGTTGGGTATATGTATTCGTGATCTTTTTGGTATTATAGGTTTGTATTTGTATATTTTTTCTTTATTTATTTTTATAATTTTTTTTTTTTTAATTTTTTTTTTCTTTTTTTTTTACTAGATTATTTAATATATCATCATAGATTGGCTAAGGAATTGATATAATTTTTATAATTTTATCATATTCTTGTTTTAATTTCATTCCTGGATTTCCGGAATGGAAGAAAACATTAAAAAACGTTTACTTTTAGTTTCTTTTTGTTATTTTTTAGAAAAAAATATAAATAAAAGTATTTGAAAAAAAAAAATACTCATCTATATCTTTATATTAATTATTGATAAAATCGCTATTTTTTTTTTAAAAAAAAAAAATAAATATATAATTTCTTTCTTTCTTAATTTTTTTTTTTTTTAAAAAAAATAAATAAAATATACTAATAATTAATTAAATCGTTTTAAGGTTTAAATTAAGAAAAGAAAGAATGAACTATATTTTAAATAATTTTAGATAAATAAATAGTATTATTATTTTTTAAATAAAAAAAAATACTTAATTTCCATATAGTTTAATCTCCTTTTTATTCTATTATACCCCAAGAGTATTTACATAACATTCTATGAATCTTTTCAGTTATTTTATTTAATTAAATTTTATTTTATATACATTTTCTTCTTATGAAGATTATATAAATTTATTATCATCTATTTTAATTGTTTTATTTATATCAAAATGAAGAATAAGTCTTTTTTATGTTTCCATTAAAAAAAAAAAAATATAATTTTAAAAAAAATATTTAATTATTTTTTTTTTTTAAAATATATATATATATATATATATATATATATATATATATATATATTTATTAATAATAATAATCAAAAATTATGAATTTATAAAATAAAAGCATATTCTATTAACATAATTGGCCTAAAGAATTTAAAAAATTAACTTTTAAAACTAAAATAATCAAATTAGATTCTTAATTTTTATAATTTCTTGAATAAGATTCTGTTTTAATTCATCCTAAATATCTTAAATAAACAGAATATATTCAAGATAATGACCAACATATATAATTATCGGAAGATACAGAAAAAAAAATTACTCAAACTTTAGAAGAATATGAAGAAGTATTCATAAAATTAAACTAATTTTCACCCAAAGACTGTCAAAACTGGCTTCCAGATCTACGTGTGACCCATATAGAAGAAATTCTGACATGTTTAAAGATGAGTGTGGTAATAAACGATTATTTAGAAGAGAAAAATAATGGAGAAGATTTATATTTAATATTAAGAAAGTGGTATAACCTCCATAAAGAAATGGTTTTCCGGTTGTTTGTCGAAAAAGGGGAATTAAAAGGGATTTCTTAAAGGCATTGTGGGATTATAAATGAAACATTAAATGAAAAAAGTGATATTTTAAAGGAAAAAATACTTGCTTTTTTTATTGAAAAAATAAAAGATTTAATTATAGAAGAAAAATTTATAATTGATATATATATAGATATTGAACCAAATTTTAAAATCAAAATTATAGATATTGAAAAATGGGATGAAAATAGTTTTTTATGTCTTTTTTAAGAAAAAAATGAATTAGAAAATTTCAGTTTAAAATTTGTTTAAAATTAAGATTAATTTATTATGGAAGATTTGTCAGGATGTAGAGTACCTGAGGAGGTTTTTAATGAAGAAAATATAATGAATTTAATGGAATATTTAGATGAAAAAAATAAAGATTTATATTAATGATAAATTTTTGATTATTAAATATTTGTTAAATAACTATATATAATGTATTAAAATTAAATTTTATAATATTAAATTATATAATATAAATATATAAATATATATATATATATATATATATATTTTTATTTATTATAACTTACTTTTTTTTATTTTTTTTAACAAACTCTTTTTAATTATTGTAAAAAATAGAATATAATATTTTTATTCAAATATTGTATATAAAATTAATACTTTTATGTATATAATTTATTTAATTTACATATGTATTTTTTATTTTTTATTTTTATATATTCTAAACTAATATAACACATATCATATTTTCTTCTATTATTATATTTTAATAATCTAAATTTTTTATTTTTTATTTTTTAAAGATATATAAATAATTATTATTAGAGATTTAATTCTTATTTATATGAATTCCGATTATATATTAAAGTACTAAAGTTTTATCACATTAAGATAAACTTGCTAAAGTAGAAATAGTAGGACTACGTTATATTATAGTTTTTATTATCATGTTATTTATTAACAATGTATTTATATATATTTTTTTCCAATTTTTTATTATTTAAATGTTTTTATTATTAAATAGTTGAAGATATTTTTATTTTTTATAATTTTATTTTATATTTCTAAACTAATATTTATAAAAAAAAATATTTAATTTTTCTTATTTATTAAATAATTTAAACGCCATTATTATCTATTTATTTGACTATTAATATTCTATTTTTTATTATTGCCTATATAATAAATTTTTATTTAGTTTCTATTTATTTAATTTTATTATTTTCTATTTTATTTCTTTAAGAATTTACTCTAAATACCTTTATTTATATAAATGGTGATTCTTTTAAAGATACGATTTATTGAAATCACAACTATTTTATTGAATATATTTTATTTGTATCTCGAGTAGCAATTATTATACAATTTGTTTTAGGGTTATCATTTTTATATGTTATAGTATTTTATTTTTATTTAAATATGTTTTTTATAATTTCTTATACTCGTTTATTTTTTATGTGCAGATAAAATAATTAAAATTTTTATATATTATAATAATAAAATTATTAATTTTATAAATTTTGATTAAAATATAATTTAATTATTGCTATTTTAAATTTTAAATAATTATATATTTATATACTTTTTTTTTAATGTTAATAATTTATATATAATATTTTTTAAAATTTTTTTGTTTTCACTCCAAATTTTTATTAAACTTAATAAAAATAAAATTCATTTAAAATAAACTAAATTTATAGTAAATATTATTTGATTTATAATTAAAAACTAAGTTAAAAAGTTAATCTAAATTATAAAAAAACATAATATTTATAATATAAAATTTTAATATTTAATAAAAAAATATAAAATTAAATAATAAATTTATTATATAAAAAATTTAAAAGATTATAACCAAAAATATTTTAATTTAATTTAATAAAAAGACATATTTTATTTCAAAAAATATATTATATATATATATTTTCTTTATTTTATTTTATGTAATAGATAACTAAAATTAAATAAATGGCTAAATTATTTATTAAAAGTAACAAAAACATATAATATAACGTATTTTTTAGAAATCTTTTTTTATAAAATTTATAATAATAATATTATTAAAAATTGAATATTAATTTTTATAAACTATAATAACTTCAAATAATATAAATTATATTTCCATGTTGTTTTTTTTTTTTTTTTCCTTATTTTTAAAAAACTCAATCTGCAATAAAAAAGTCTATTATCAATTTTTCGCAATTTTTTTTTATTTTGTCTTAAGTTTAAAAAATAAATAAATTTCATATTAAATAAAAAAAATAACGATAAAAAATTATATATTATAATTATATTTTTTTTTTTTAATCTTTATATTCAACATTATCAATTTAATTAAATATTTTTATTAATTAAAGTTAAAAACTAATTAAATAATTCTAAAAAGATAATAGGATGTCCTTTATTTAAAATAACATCAACAATGTGGTCTTTTTCATTAGGCATCTATATTATAATATTATTAAAAATTAATAATATTATTTTTGTACTGCATATATTTAAATAGTAAAGACTATTTCTTATTTTGAATATTTCGCAATATTACTTTTATCTGTAGTTTATTAATTACTTTATCCATTTCCATTTTCCCCAATAATATTAATATATTAATCATCATTGTTTTTATTTCTTTGTTTTTACTCTTCGATATTTAATCCATTTCCATATATCTTTTAATTTAAATTTTAATTTTGATTATTTAAATTATTAATATTATTTCCCTAATTAATTATATTATTATTTAGTTCCACTTACATCATTTCCATATGATTATTAAATGCACTATGCATTTTTTTTGGGTTTCTATAATGACACTTTATTCTATAATCATTAGATTTTATTGTTATTACAATATCCATTTATCCCGCACAATCATATATTGTTTTCATTATTTTCTTTGCCGGATAACTATATATCTTCCCATAAGTCCATTAGCCTAGTATTTCTTCTTCTTCTGGTGTTAGATTTGTTATATTTCTTTTATTTTAATATAAAATATTTTTTATATAGATTTTAAATACCCTTAATTAAATATTTAATCAATATAAGCATTATTTGTTTCTATAGCACAATCATCTTATACAGGTCTAAAAATAAAAGTATTTTCTACACTTTCTATTATAGTATTTGTTTATATATAATATACATTTATATAAATAAAAATACCTTAATTTTTATTATTAGTTTTATTAAAATCATCTTATAATAAATCATATGCAATAACAAATGAATAATCATCTCTTTTTTTAATAACTTTTCTAATTTTTTCTTCTGTTAAATTATGGAAATTTATATTTTTTAAGCCAATTAGTTTTTTGAATATTTCTTCATTTATTTTTTTATTTTCCATTCTAGTATTTAAATTAAAAATTTCGATATAAAAAGGAATATTTTCTCTTAACCAAGGATGAAACCTTATTTCATGAAATTTTATTCTTTCTACTGGATTAGGCCTCAAAATTCTATATATAAGATCTTTAGCTTCAACCGAGAAAAACGCAGGCATTAAAAAATCAGCTTCTATATATATATTATAAACTCATTTTATTATTAAAATTTAAAAGAAAAAAACCTTTTATTTTTTTAAATAAGGCAGGTATAACTTCTTCATCAAAAGGTAAATATCCGGCTAATAATGCAAACAAAATAACTCCACAACTCCATGTATCTACTTCAGTTCCACAATAGAGTCTTTTTTTTTTTTTGAGGTTTTAACAAAAAAATTAAATTTATTAATTTTTTTTATATTTTATTTACTTCCCAGATATAACTTCTGGTGCTGCATAATTTGGAGAACCGCATGATGTTTTTAAATATTTTCCATCATTCATAATATTACTAAGTCCAAAATCGGCAATTTTAATATTATTATTTTCATCTATGAGAATATTCTCGGGTTTTAAATCTCTATGAGCAACTAAATTTCTATGACAATAATCTATACCTGCCACTATTTATCGAAAATACTTTTTTGCTTCTTAATCTGGTAAACGACCTTAAGATGCTATAACATCATATAAATCTCCACCGGGAATATATTCGGTAACGACAAAAATATCAGTGTTTGTGTCTAAAACTTCGTATAATCTTATAATGTTTTAATGGTTGAAAAATCTAAGTAATCTAATTTCTCTTTTTATCTTTTTTAATTTTTTATAAGATATGTTATTGCTTATTATTTTTTACTTTGCTACTCATTTTTTTACTTGTCATTTTTTTTTATTTATTATTTTTATTGCTACATCCTTACCAGTTATATCATGTTTTGCGACTATTTTTTTTTATTATTATTATTATATTTAATTGCTTTATTATATTTAGTAATTACGCTTAACTTTCCCAGAAGCTCCTACACCTAGTGTTTTCCCAACTAAATAATGCTCAATTTTGAGTGTATTTGAGTTTTATTATTGAGACATATATAAATAATAATAATTTATTGATTCTGTTTTTTATTATTTTATTAATTAATTTTTATTTTAATATTTTTTGTTAATTAATTTTTTTTTTTTTTAATATTATACTTTTTTAATTAATTATTATAAAAAAGTTTCTATTATGTTACCATTTTTAATTTAATAAAATAAAATTAAATATGATATTTTAAGAAAATAAATAATACTTAAAAAATCAATTTTTTTTATTTAAATATCTCTTATTATTGTATTGTATTTGAATATTTATTTAATTATTGTTTATTAATATATAATCAATCTTTTATAATTTAAAAAAACATAAAATATTTTAAAATTTAAAATTATTTATATAATTTCAAAAATTAAAAATATGTTTTTATAAGTAAAATGTAAGATTATATTATTTATTTTTTTAAAAATAAAAAAATTATTTAATAAAATTTAAACATAAATATATATGAGTTTAGAAAAAAAAAATTAATTATTTACTCAATAAATAAGGAATATTTTAATTATAAAAAATCTGAAAATATAAATCAAAAATATTATTTAAATATAATTAATTTAGTATATTTATAATTTAATGATAGAATTAAGAAAAAATTGTATATATAAAACTTGATAATTTAATAATTTTTATTCATAATTGTTTATTATTTTATTATCATTTCTAATTATTTAGAAAAAATATACTTCTTATATGATAAATTTTCTGTTAAAATTATTATTCAAGATTAGAATTATTATAAATTTTTTTAAAAAAAAACAATTATATTTCTACTTTGATTAAATAATAAAATATGAAAAAAAATTTTTATATATTGAAACAAAAGAAAAATATAAAAATTAAATAAATATAAGTATTTGTTAAAAAATTATATATATATAATATTAAAAAAATTTAAAATAAAACTTAAAACAAAAAAAAATATGATATATAAATATTAAAAATGATTTAATAATTAATAAATTTTAATTTAATATTAAATATAAATAAATATATTAAATTATAAAAAAAATATAATAAAAATAAATATGTTGATTAATAATTAAAAAAATATTTTTTATTTTGTTTTAATTAAATATAATTAATTATAAATAAATAAATAAAAAAAAAAAATTTATGATATATTTATATAAAAAATAATATAAATTAAAAATATATATATATATATATATACTTTATAAATTTCATAATCAGATTTTATTAAAATAATTAATTATTTTTAGATTTTTATTTTATATTAAATAAAAATATATTTTATTATAAATAATATATATATATATATTAACAAACAAACAAACAAAAATGAGTCTTTTTAAAGTAGCAAGAATATTATAAGCTAACACTATATTATTTAACTGTGATATATAATAAGGATTCATAAAACACATATATAAATCCGAAAACATTATAAATACTGCAAAATAAATGGCATAAACAGCTAATATTTTACAATTACCAATATTAGTAACAGTTTAAAATGTAAAAGCGTTTGGAAATACTGTACCAGAATTAGAGAAAGATTTACCAAAAAATTTATCCTAAAAATTCGAAAAGGCAACATTTTCAATGATAAATGAACAAACTTAGGCATTTTTGGATTAACATAAAGAAAGAAAAACAGCAATTTTATACGGAGCTGAAGCACATGTTTGTGTTTAATAAACTTGTTTAGATTTATTAGAAAAAGAATACTAAGTTTTTTTATTGACTGATGGTATTACTAGTATAAATCCTATAGATAGATCCACTGCATTTTAAAGAATGTAATAGGCTGGAGCACATTTAACAACATATTAAAGTGCAGTTTTTGAAATGCTAAAAAGCTTTAAACATGCAGAATTTAAAAATTACTGCCAGTTTTTAAATTAAGTGTAAATGAATAAGACAGATTGACAGGATTATGAATAAAATTATTTAAAAAATTATAAATAAATAAAAAAAAAATTAAATATAAAAAATTTATTTATAAATATAAATTTTATTTATTGAAAATTTAATATATTATATTAATAACAATAAAATTTATAAATATATATATATATATATATATATATATATATATATATATATATATATATATGTATATATGTAATAAATAATAACGAAACTTACTATAAACTTTTTTTCTATTATTTACTTTACTTTATTATTTTATTTAATTATTAATATTAATTACTTTTTATTATTATTTAAATTCATATTTTTTATATTTACTTTATTTTATAAAGAATATTTTTTATTTTTTATATTATTTTTTTTTTCTTATATTAATTTAATTCTTTATTTATTATTTTGAAGAATTTATTTTTATAAAATATTCATTAATTTTTAAATTAGTTTTTTTTTCTGATAATTTAATATTTATTTAGTTTATAGACTATATCATTATTATTTTTTTATATTTTATTTATTTTAAAAACTAATATTATTTTTTTAAAAAGTATTACTTTTACTTTTTTTAATTAATAAAACTATAAAATTAATACTTTTAGCATTCCTTTCCTAAATAATTGTAATAATTACTAAAATTTTCTAACTTATATTAAGAAAATTATATGATATATTTATCATAATCATCAAAAAAATAATAATAAAATAATTTTTATTTTTTTTATAATGAAGAAATATTTGCAAGCAATAATTATTTTTAAATTAATGTTTAATCTATTTCAAACTCAGTTTTATTTTTTATTAATATAAATACTATTGTATTATTTTTTATATTATTGTTTAGCTATTTCTTATTTTATGAAATATAATTTTTATTATATTATTAAAACTTTATATCATCAAATGTTAAACATTTAAATTCATTTTTTTTTATTTGACATATATACATTAAAATTAATTTTTTTTTTTTTATAATTTAATCTATTATTTTAATTTTCTATATTTGCCTTAAAGTTATAATACTTTATTTTATAATCCTTTATTATAATTAAGAAAATTCTTTAGGCTTTAGATATTTAATTTCGAGATTTTAAATTTTTTATTGTTTAATTATTGATTTTTTTAAATTTTATATTTAATATTTAATTTTTTAATAAAAGTAATAATTTATAATCATTTAATTATTTGTTAATATTTAATTTTTTTATTTTATTTTTTTAATAAAAAAAAAAAAAATATATTAATTCTAAAAATTATATATTTTAAAAAATATATGTTAATAAAATCATTATTTATTATATAAATATTTATATTTAATATTTAAAATTATTAAATAAAATAAAATTTTTTACAAATTTAAAAAAGTAAATAATTAAGTTATATTGTATTAATAAATGTAATAAATTAAAAACATAATAAAAAAAATACAAAAATAAAAATTAGAGTATTATTATATTTATATATATATATATTATTATTAAACATAAATAAATATATAATATATTTAATTTTTTTATAATGACAATTTTTTTTTTTTATACTTCATTACATAAGATTACAAAAATTAATATTATATCTTTATTTAAATTTTATAATCAAATAAAAAATATATTTTATTTTAAATTAAATATTAATAATCCATATTTTATGACATTAATAATATATAAATACATTAATATAAATCTATATAATATTTTTTTATTTTTGATTTAAATATTATATAAAATTATAATATATAACATTTTGTTAATTTATTTAAAAATAAAATAAAATTAAAAATATTTAAAAATAAATTATATATTTATAAAAAAATATAAATATAATTTATATATAAAAATATATTTTTTATTTTATAGAAAATAAGCAAAGAATATTTTTCAATTATTAATTATATATATATATATTTTTTTCATGTATATATTTTAATTTATATTTTTAAATAATTTATTTTATATAATATATAATACTCTTAATTAATAGGTTATTGATAATGAAAAATAAAGCTATTTTTAAAAAAAAAAATGTAGTAAAATTATAAAAGTACTCAGCTTTTATAAAATTATATTTAATTTTTGAAAATATATTAATTTTTATTTATTTATTAATTTTGTTTGAAAATTTATGATATATTTAATTTATTTAAATAACCATTTAAATATTTTATTTTTTAAAAGAAATAAAAAATATTAAGATATAAATATAGTTAATATAATATATGTGAATTTTTGTTTCTATTATTATTTTTTATTTACTTAATTTTTTTTTATATTATTATTTTTATATTTTTTTTAAAAAAGTATTTTTTCCTATTTTTTTAATGTATTTTTATTGTTTATTGTTTTTAATTTAGATTTTAAAATATAATTAATAAAAACAAAATTAATATATAAATTGGGAAAATTAATTTTATGTTAATATTTATTTCGAATAAAAGACTTTCTTAAATTAAAATATTAAAGATATAACGATAAACGATAAACGATAATATTTATTTATAAAATGATATATCCCCCATAAAAAAAATATATAAATAAAAAACTTAATATATTTAAAATTTTAAGATATTAAATGAATGAATAAGAAATAAATAATGGTTTTCAATATTTAGCAAAAATAAAATTATAATATACAAAATACTATTTTAAATTAAAAATATATTTTAATATATATATAAAATACATATATAATTATTATTATTGGGAAATTATTTTAAAAATCAAAGATGATTAAAGTTTTAAAAAATTTATATTTTTGGAATATTAAAAATTAATAGTTTAAAAGGAAGATAATACTATATTTTATAAAATATAATAATGAAATATAAGGAAATTATATATAAAAGAAAGAGATTTAGTTGAAAAAAGGTTATGGTTCTTAAGAAAAAGAATTGTATTTTATAAAACTTTAGTGACTTTTTTATATTTAAGTACTTTTGAGGTTTTTTTTAAGCTTTTTAAAGTTTTAATAATTTTTTGATAAGAAAATTTGAAATTTAGACTGACAAAATTATTAAAAAAGTAAATAAACTTGAATTTAAATTTTTAGTATATTTTTTTTTTTTCGTTTAAATATTTTTATTTATTTCTTTTTTTAAAAAAAAGTCAATTATAATATATAAATATAAAATAAATAATTTTAGAAATTACAAAATTGATAGTATTACGGTTATTAGAAGAGATTTTTTAAGATTAAAATCATTTAGTTTATGCAATGGAGTATTTGGAAGGAGAAAGATTAAAATTTGAAAATATTTTATTTGTAAATAAAAAAATTAAACCAAGATTTAAGTGTAAATATTTAATAAAATACTGAAAATTATCTTAAAAAAAGTTTGAATATAAGGATATTTCGGAGACAATATTGATAAAAAAATATTTTGGAATAATATAAAATAGTAAATATATATATTTTAACTTTCCTCCCCCCCATAATAGAAAATATATTATATTTATTTATGTATACAATTTAAAGTTTGCTTTTACATCTATTTTTAATCTTAGTAAGCAATTATTATTGTTAAAAAACTCACTTTTGGATTTAAATAGTACTAGAATATGAAATCAAATAAATCTCTTTATTGTAAAAACTTTAGGTCATTCAATATATTAAATATTCTCAAAAAAAGTTAGTTAAATAGTTCAGAATAATGTGAAACTTTTGTTATTTATTAACATATTAAGTTAATAATATTTTTTTGTTGATTTAGATTTTAAAATTAATTTAATAATACATACATATTATTATATCTAAATATATATTTATAATATATTATAATTATGGGGACAAATAAATGAACCATTATTTTGTAACAAATTTAATTAAAAGAACAAAAAAAAAAAAGATTTATCTAATTTATTTTACTTTTTTTAAAAAAAAATGTTATAATAATATATATATAAAAACATATAAATTAAATACAAAAATATCATAATTAACTATCTTATCTTCTATAAAACAATAAATAAGCCGCAGAAGTAACAATTTTATCATTTGAAATAGCTTAAACATTAGAATCATTGAAATCATACCATTTCTAATTAAGAAAATTTTTCGCAAAAGCAGTATAATGTCCTCCATTTACGCTTCCAATATGGTTACAAACTGCAAATAAATCATATAAAATTTTATCTTTTTTTAAATTAGAGAGTACATAATTACCTAAATTTAAATTTTATATAGGAAAATCAATAAATTCATCCAATTTTTAACCCCCAGAAGCATAATAAAAAGACCCTATAGAAGAGAGTTTATTCATTTTAAATCTTTTAAAATGGAAAATTATTATTTTGGGAATTTTATAAATTTCCATCTTTTTAGAAGCCTGTTTATGTTATTTACATATATTACAATACCATTCATTTCCTTATTATAGAATCTCTTCTTTTACAAATAAATTTAAACAATCGTAAAGCGAAGTTTATTTTTATTAACTTTCTTATTCTTCCTTTTTTTGGCTATTGAAGTTTTCGTATTTGTCAAATAGAAGATTTTATAGGCTTTCTTGAGGAATCAAGTATATTGTCTTCGATTTGTTTTATCCTTTAAATATTGGGTCTTGTATTAGTTTTAGGTCTTCTGTGATTTATATTGGGTTTTTTTAGTCAAAAAATAATTAGTAAGGGTGATTTTGTTCGTTTTCTATTGAAAAAAAATGCTAGAATTCCTCATGTAGTTACTATAAGGTATTTTTTTCAAGATTTATAATATTAATATGATTATTTGATTCTAATTAAGAATGCATATATAATCTAAAAATTCTCCAAACTTTGTAATGTAAATCTTTATAACTGGAAGAATTTTTATTTATATAAAAAAAACGTTCAAAAGTGATCATATTTTATTACTAATTATTAGTCCTAAATTAGTCTATTATTTATAATTTTATTTCTTATATAAACTCCTCTTATATATTTTAATCTAAATCAGAATCAAATATAGCATTTTTTTTTTCCTATACTAAAAAAAGTAGGTTTTGGGATGAAAATTTGTATATTTTTTCATTTAAAGACTGAAAATGTAAAATTTGCTTATCATTATTTATTGAATATAGGATTAATTATTTTTCGGAAATTGTAATTTTCCTTTATATTTTCTCGAGTATATTTTATAAAGTTTCTATTTTATTTTATACCTTAAGTATTATTTATTAAGGTAATTTATTGAAAGAAATATAATATATATTCAAGTTAATATATTATATATATGGTACAGGTACTGATAAAGACATAAAAGGGTCAAAAGTGACCGAAATTTTCTTACAAGTAGGACAATTTAGTGTTGATTTGAACTATCCTACCATTAAATCGACTATTATTGATTTATTTCGTTTAAGGTAATTTTACCAGGCTTAATTAGAGGTTTCTTCGTCGTTTTTGCCATCAGATTCTATTTATTAAACAAAAGGTTTTTATTTAATTTTGTTTAAATCTTCATGTAAACCATCTATAAGGTAAGAAAGTAATTCTTGGGAATCTTATTATGAATAACCTAAGAATTAAGGAGCGAATTTAGATAGTATTTTCTTTAAATTAAAAGGAGAAGTAGTATTTTGGCCATTCCACATGTTTTTTATCAATTCAGAGTATGCATTTACTAATTAACCACCTGTTCCTAGTGGATTTGTAGAGTTTATATCCAATTAGTAGTTATTTAAAAGCATATAGTTCGTTAATTCTTATATATTAGATAAACATTATAATGAAGAATTCATAAAACAGGTATTACCGATGTTCTGGAGACCACAAAGGCCTTTATTTTGTTGTTGTTGTTGTTATTTTTAATATTAAGAACTTTTTGGAAGTGATTTTTATTAATATTATTGATATTGCCTTTAATTTATTTTGCATATTTATTTATGCTTATGACGATGTTTACGTAAACAATCTATATTACAGTATTTTATGAATCTACATTCACATAAGGAAAGAGGTTTTGTATTTTCTTTACAAAAGCCGCATTTATTTTATGGAATATTATTTATATCTGAAGTTAATATGAATTCAGGATTATTATTATCAATATATTCGAAAATAAATATATCTAAAGGCAGAATTTCTATATCCTATGAAATTTAAGTTAAAAAAATAAATATATATATATATATATAATATATATATATATATTTATATTTATATTTATATATATTTACTTCTATATATGTATTAGGATTATATTTATCAGAATTTATAAAAATTGAACTGTTTTCTCTATTTTAATATAATTAAATGAAAGATTAAATATCATTGTTTTTTTCTAGTTTATAAATGTTTATTTTAATTGGGTTTATTTTTGGATGTCTTTCCTTAAAAATTCTTAATAATTTATATTTTAGTTAATCTATGTTTTCCTATTTACTTATTTAGGTTGTTAAAACCATTTATTCTTATTAAAAAAAAATGAAGTTTATTTAAATTAAGTGGATTTCGACTTAACTTATTTCTTAGTTTATTGAATTTAAAATTAGCCGTTTTATTTTATAGTTTGTGTTATATTTTTTGAATAAAAAATCCCCCGCAGGACCTGGAAGCACTACGAAATGATTTTTTTCGGATAAATGCTTCCTTAAAGGATAATTTTGATAATCTTTTATTTTATTGGGATCCTTTTGAAAATTTTAAATGATTATTTTATAGTCTAAAATGTCAAAATTATCTACTAAACCTGGATATATGTATATATTTTCATCTTTTTAAATAATATTTTGGTTTTATTTTTGTTATATTAGGTCTTCTTGTTCATCTTCTTTTATAAAAACGTATTTTTTCCAATTTTAGAACCAATTTTAAGATATTATATAAACGTAAAATCCGTGTTGGGACATATATTGTTATTTTTATGTTTAATTTAATATTTCAAGAAATTATTAGGCTTCGTTTTTCCTTGTTTATTCTGTTTCTTGAAAAGAGCTTTTTTTTTCTTGGATTTAATTTAGTTTTTGTTAAATTTATTCAAAATAGAATATTTATGTCTTTTTTTTATTTTTTTATTAAGATAAATTATATTTAAGACTTTATTCGGAAAGAAGAAATTCACGATTGTAAAAAAAAGAAAAAGATAAAAAAAATTAAACTTCAGTTTATATTTCAATTTTATTTTAAATATTATAACAAGACTTTTTCAAATTTTCAATAGCTTTTTAGCTTTAAATAATACTAAGAGAATATTAATGAGTATAAAAATAATAATTAGATAAAATATAATTTAATTTTGGATTATTTTCATCTATTTATTATGCTTTTTAAACTAAATTTGGGATATCTAGAATATTATAAGAAAAACTATTTTAAATTTGATTAATAATATTATCAATTTCATTTTTCATTTTTTTATTATATTTATATATTAATATATTTATAAATATTAAAATATTTATATATATATATATATATATATTTATATATATATATTTATATTAATATATTTATATAAAATTATTCATTTTAAAATATACATATATATATATTTATTTTTTATAATTATATAAATTTTATACTATTAATTTTTTATTTAATTTTTTGATTTTTATTTTAATATTTTGTTTTTGTTTTTAGTAATACTTTTATATTTTTTAAAAATATTATTATTCTTTATAAATTTATATCTTTAATATATATAAATTTTATATAAAAGTGTGATTAAAATTTGTGTAAAATTTATTATAAAATAGATTTAAATAAATCAATAATTTAAAAAAAAATAATATAAATAAATTAAAATAAAAAAAAAAAAATTAAATATAAATTATATAATTATATTAAAAAATACAAGAAAAAAAAAAATATAAAATTTAAATAAAAATATTTAAAACTAATTATAAAATATAATATCTTTAAAACTATTTTTAATTAAATAAATAAAATTTTTAATAAGTAAATAAAAAATACAATAATGATTTTAAATAATTTATAAAATTAAAACAATATATAAATTAAAAATTTTTCATATATAATGGAATATTTATATAAATAAATTATATATAAATATTTATATATATATATATATTTTATTATTTCTTTATTAATTATCAACTACTTATATATATTATTTCTATTTATATAGTTTCTTCAACTAGAATTACCAATTTCTGTATATTTTTTTAATAGATTTATAAGTTTTGATTTAAATTTTTCGTAATTTAATGACCACTAAGTTCCTTCTTTATCTTTTATTATATTTTCATCAAAGAAAAGTATTTCTTCTTCTATTTCCAAAAATTTTATATTCCAAAAGTTTTTTATGATACAGAAAATCCTTTACATAAATCTGTGTGTATTAAAACTATATTAATAATATCTTTCAAATAAGTATGTTAAAAATTTATTTTTTTAGCATAATTAGATATACTCTCGAAACCTTCATTTACTTTACATAAAATATTTTTTGTTTTATCTAGATCATTTTAAACTTCTGGATTTTATTAAGATTCTTTAATTATTTCAGATAATATTTCTATATTAAGTTATTTTGTTTAGATTTCATCAAATGTTTCATTAAATTATGAATCGAATAGGTAAGTTGCTTTTTCAGTATAGTAAATCGGAAGATTTTGTTTTTCATTTAAGCATAATATGAAATTTTATATAGACTTTTCTCTTAAATAGTCTTAGTAAATCATTAAAATAGTAAATTTGTAGTGTTTTTTTTAAATTTTAAATAAATTATATTTATATATAAAAATTTATTTAATTTTTTTTTTTTTTACATTTTCAAAATTAATTTTTTTATTTATATTTATTTTCTTCAAATTATTTTTATTTAGTATTTTTTTTTTTATATGAAAATTAATTTTAAAGAAATAATTTTAAAAAATAAATATGAAATTTAATAAATAAAGAAAGTTAAAGTCTATTCAAATATAAAAACAAAAGAATTAAATATAATATTATAAAAAAATATAAATATATAAATAAAAATCATAAAGTTATCATTAATTCTAAAAATTTTTTGTTATTTTATATTTATTGTTGAATATCTAAAACCATCTTTTTTTTTTTTAATACATAAAATTTTTTTAGTTTATTATATTAATATATATATAAATTAAATTTAAAATAAAATATATATTTTATTATTAATTTATATTTAAAAATAAAAAAATAACGTTATATTTTTAATCATATTTTATTTTAAATATATAAATAAAATGTAATATATAATTTTAAATATTTAATTTCTGAATAATAATTTTCCTTTCATATTATTCTTAAAATAATGCAAACTCAATATAAAAATAAATTATTTTAAATAAATATTAAAATTAAAAAGGTACTAAGCCGTTAACATAAGAAGATAATAAAACAAATATAATTTAAACCGAATTAATTAATAAAAATAATGAAATAATAGAGAAATATAAACTACAAATAATCGTAGTGAATTAATTAATTAAATTTGTATTCAAAATATAAAATTAATTCTTAAAAATAATATCTTTTTATGATTTAACTAATATTTTAAAATATTTTTAATTTAAAATATAATATATTTTGTTAATTAAAAAATAAAATAAAATAAATGTTATATAATATTAGAACTAATATAAATAAATATATTTATAAAAATAAATTATGTTCAAGGTATCTAAAAAAATTAATATCATAAGCAAAATAAAAATAGCTAAATAAAATATAATCATTTCAAAAAAAGCAAGATTAAAAAAATCATAAAAAAGTTAAAATAAATATATATATATATTTATTAAAGAATATGTAATTTTTGAATAAGAAAAAAATAAAGGTAATAATTTGAATGAATGTGTATTTAATAAAATGAAAATATTAATAAACTTGAAATTATATTACTTATTATTTTAATATTTGTTATAAATAAATTAATTAGGAAAAAAACTTTAATTGAAATATTTATTAATCAAAAAAAGAAATACTATAATAAAATTTACATTAAATTTTATAACTATTATTAGTATTTTTTTAAAAATTTATTTATATATTATATTTATTAAAAAAAAATATATTAATTATATAAGGAATTTTCTTAAAATTAAAAAAAATAATTTTATTCAAATAAAAAAAAGATAAAGTAATTAAAAAATAAATAAATAATATTTAAAAAAAAAAATGATAATTAAAAAAAATAAATATATATAAATATAAATATAAATATAGATATTTATTATTATCTTTATATTTTTTTTTATTATATTTATTTATTTTTTAATCTTTATTTTTACTATATTAAATTTTTTTTATATTTTATTTATTTTTATATTTTTTTTGCTTAATATATTTTATATTATACTTTATATATTTATTATATTACTAATAAATATTTTTTAATTTGATTTTTTCATATTTTTAATTTTCTAATTTAGTTTTATTTCCCTTACTTAACATAATTTATATTTTTTCTTTTTATAATAATTAAATATATTATATTTTTTTTTTCTTTAAATATTTTCAATTTTATAAATATTATATATGTTTTGAAACTTAACTATTTTAAAAAAACACAATTAAATTTCTATTTTAATTTCGACTAAGGCAAATATAGAAAAGTGCAACTTTATTAAAAGGTGTAGTCTTTTCAAGATTTAATCCTTCTACACTAAATTTTTATTTACTTTCATAGAATCATATATATATTAAAACTTTCTTTTGAATTTATAAAATTAATTTACATTTAATTTTAATATATTATTATACTAAATCAAGTAAACAATAGAAAATAAATGTGTAATCATTCAATTTATTTTTCTTAATATGATCATATAAAAAAAAAATATTATATTTTAATAAAACTTCATCAATTTGATGAATACAATATAATGACGGCTTTTTTGTATTAATTAATATGCCAATTATAAGTTAACTAAATTTATAAAATATGATAATAATACTAATAATATCATATAAATCATTATCAATAAAAATTCCTTCAATTTTTATTTATATTTGACATTGGTTTTTGTTTATTTTAAAATTAATACTGATGAAATTAGATATCTAAGTCTATATAATATTAATGCTTATTTTCTTATCTATTATATTTTTACTTTTTTAGTTTTATTTTATTAAATTTTTGTTTATGCCCTGAATATTATTTTTTTCTGCATTAGATTAAAGAATAAGAATAAAGATTTAATAATATATGTTTGTCAGTATTTTATTTTTTAATAATATTTTAAATATTATTTAATTATAAAAAATGAATGATAAATTTAATTTTAATCTTTTTTTTCAATTAGTATTAAATTTTATAACTAAAGTATTTATAAATTAACTATTTTTATTAATAATAAAATATAAAAATTAAATAACTAAATTGTGCTTATTTTATTATCAAAGATTTAATTTATTTTATTATGATTCATTTTTTTTTGTATTTTCATATATTTTTTTATTTTTACTTAATTTTTAATTTAAAAATAACATAAACATAAAATACAAAAATGTTTAATAACAACTATACATTTAGTAATTATTTAATAGAATAAGGTTAAGGTGGAATATCATTTTTAAGTAACAATAAACTATTAATAATATATATTAATTTTATTTTTAAGGTTTATGTTTGGGAGGTTTATACATATTTTAAGAAAGCATTTTATATAAGCCATGTATATATTCTTATAAACTATTTATAATTAAATAATCATATTTATTTATAAACAAACATTAATAAAAAAGAATATGGAAATCTACCTAAAAATCCCTAATATAATAATTTAGGAGATCGTAATCCTTAAGAATGGTTTTATTTTATTAAATTATACATATATAGAAATAGGAATTAATCATTTTATAAAATAAAAAAAGGAATTTAAACTATGAAGATGTCTAAATAAAAACGTTAGATTAAATAACTTTAAGAGGGTTAGTTTTTCATTATATATAATTATTGATTTAAAAAAAATACATATAAATTTTATATAAAAAGGTGGTTAATTAAATAAGAAAATAGCAATGAAAAACCTACTGTTGTCTTTTTTCATGAAAATGCTGGAAGTTAAATATTTTTTTACTAAAACAATAAAAAAAAAAAAAAAAAAACAATAGATATAGGCCATAGATTATATTATTTAAAAAATTATTTTGAGAATGTAAAAGTTAATATACTTATTATAGCATATAGAGGGTAATATTTTATTTTATTTTTTTAAAAATAAATAAATATTTAGATATAGTAATTCAGATGAGGTTCAATAAATTAATGAATAAGGTTTATAAATAGATAGTAAAGCTATCATTTAATATGCTTTTAAATGCCCATAAATTGATAAAAATAAAATATTTTTGCATGGAAGAAGTTTAGGAGCAGCTGCTTTATGTTATGGTGTTCTAAATACAAATAAACAACCAAAAGGAATAATTTTAGAAAATACTTTTACTTCAATAGATGATATGGTTGAAATAATAGCAAAACCATTGGCCTAATTTTCTAAATTTATACTAAAAAACAATTGGAAAACAATTGATATCATATAAAATATAAAAAATCCATCCTTATTTATAAAAAGTTTTTTTTTTTTTAAAAAAAAAAAATTAATAAACATATAAATTAAAAAAAAAACAAAAAAGCTAAAAAAGATGAAATAATTCCTAGCAAATAAATGGATTATTTATATGAAAAATGTGGAAGTGAAAATAAAATTTTATTTGAAATTTAAGAAGGATAACATAATGATAGTTGGAAAATTGATTAAAATTTATACTTTTCTTAAATAAAAAAATTTATAGAATAAAATTGTTGAAAAAAATCTTTAATAAATTAAACTAAAATTAAAATTCTAAAAAATTAATATTTTAAAAATTTTTAAAATAATTATTTTATATTACTTTTATTTTTATCACGGAAGATTTTTTTTCATTTTAGTTAATTTTAATATAATATAAATTATATTTGAAGTTTTTTATATTAAACTAAATATATATTTAACTATATATTATTTTATATATTAGTTAAAAAAAAAAAATCTATATAATATTAAATGGATTAATAAATTTAATAATATATTTTTTTTTTTAAATAAATAAATAATATTTTAAATTTAATATATTAAATAAATATTATTATTTCTTTCGTAAATCTTTCAAAGAAAAAAAAATATATTTTTTATATTTCAAATATTAATTTAAAAATATTATATATTTTTATAAGAATTATTTTCTATTTATTTAGATAAGATTTTTAATCTGTTTTATAACTAATAAATAGCTTTTTTTTATTAATTCATATTACTGTCAATTATTTTTAGATTTTTTTACATTGGTCTTTTTACTTAACTTGTATTATTAGGATTTTTTTTGTAAATTCTATTGTTCATTTGGTCTTAAAAAGTAATAAAATAATCTCAAAAAAATTTAATATTTTTTTATACTTATTAATCTTATGATTTATAATATTTGTTATTTAAAAAATTAATTTTTTATTGAATTAAATACATTATAATGATTAACAATACTATTCATGTTTTTAATAATTATTTTAATTTATTTTTGAATTAACTTCAGGAATATATAGCTTTTATATTTAGCTATCCAATTGTTTAAAAGAGTTTTAAATAAATATCTGTTTATTACTTATTACTACTTAATTATTTTTATTTAAATAATTTTTCAGATAAATAACTTAGTATCATTTTTTATTATCCATTATTATTTTTTTTAGTAAATTATCTTTTAAAGTAATATCAAATTCTTCCTTTTCTTATAAAAATCCTTTATAAGTTATAAAATAAAATAATTGTTAAATCTTAGTAAATTTCAACAATAAATTCTAAAAAAAATCTTCATTTTAATATATTAGAGATTTATTATACCCTTAATTACTATAATCCTTACGTAAAAATTCCAAATTAATCTTTAAAAATTACTCTTTCTAACTAAATTAACATTTATTTATGTATTTTTAAAGAAGTATTAAAGTTAAAATCTTTTCTCATAATTTTAAAAGTGTTTTCTTTATTTTACAAGTCAATATCATAATCAGTATAAAATACTTAAAGGTAATTTTGTTTTAATTTTTATTCTGTTTTTTAAGAACATTAACTATTTTAGTTTTATTAGCATATTCAGATACATAAAATTTTAGATTTATAAATTATTAAGAATCTTAACTGTCTTCGATAAAATTATTTTTACCCTTGCTTAAAACAATAAAATAATTATTTTATATAAAGCTAAGCCTTTTATCATTTCTTCTGTATTTTAGATATTAAAATTTTGAATAGTACATAACTTTTGTGAAACTTAATTTTCTTTCTTCATATATATATTATTTTTTTAAATTCAATTGATTTTTGTGACATATTTGCTTAAATTTAAAATATTTGTTGGTCTATAAAATCTTATTTGGTTTAAATATTCTTAGACCAAAATAATAATTAAGTTTTGACAAATATAATAAATATATACTTTTTACAATAAAAAAAAAATGAATACTAATTATGTAAGATATATAAAAAAAAAATATGAAATAATAATATATAAAGGTAACAAATATTGTCATAATTCCTCAATAAAATAATTTATATAAATTGAAATTATTAAAAAATTAATATATATAAACTAAAAAAATAAATTCTTTATAATTAATATGTACATTTTTTTTATATTATACTTTTTGATTAATTAATTATAGAAAAAAAAAAATTTTAAAGTTGAAAAAATAAAGTAAAAAAAAAAAATTTAGTAAAGCATATCAGTTTTACTACAATATTTTTAATAGCTTTCTATTTTATATATTTTGTGTAAATTTGTTTTTGTAAATTATCAATATAAAAAAAAAAGGAAGAAAAGAAAATAAATAAAAATTAATTTATTTACAAAAATATATGATAAAAAAAGGAAATAATAAATAAAAAATATAATAGATTTAAAATAAAAAAAATATTTTTTTTTTTTTTTAATATCAGTACAATAAATATTATAATATATAAAATAAAGTAAAAATATACAAAATTATTAAATAAAACAAAAAATTAAAATTTTATTTAAAAAAGAAAAAAATATATTTTTATATAAATATAAATATATATTTTAAAATAAATTAAAAAGTATATTTTATTTAATAATTTGAAAATTATAAATAAATATTTTTATTTTGTACAATATATTATATATAAAAAATATATATAAATTAGTAAAATATATGCGTATTATTTTTATAAATATATTTACATATTTATAATTATAATAATTATTTTTAATATATAATTATTTATTTTCAACAATTAATTTTATATTATTATAATTATTTTTATGTTTTATTTCAAATCAAAAATTCTAGCTATCGCTTTCATCTATTATAAAATTTTAACAAAAATATTTTTTAAATAATAATAAAATTTTATTACTTTCAAAAGAAGAATCGTTATTAATTAATTTTGTTTATTTATCACATTTTATTTAATTTTATTCAATATCATCATTATTAACGTTTTATTAACATTATTTACTTACTGGCGCTTGATAAATTTAATTTTCATCTTTATTAATTAGTGGAAATTCTTATTATGCAGCAGCTGTATCATCATCATTAGAAAGCATAATTTAAGACATTTATATTTGATTTTATTTTTACAATTTTTTATTAATTCCTTTTCTGTTAAAATTTCTCAATTTTATTTTTACATATAACTCTAATTCTCTTGCTTTTCTTATAGATAAATCATTAATATCAAATGATAATTCTTTAGAATTGTATGTTTAAGAACTGTCTTTTTAAACTATTTCCCAAACTCCTCTCAAACAATTTAAAGGTAATTTTAATATATTTTATCCGAGTGCTTTTTTTTATTATTCTGTCATAGGCATATCAAGTTTTATAGGAGCTCCTTTTGATCTTTAATTATAAAAACAAGTTAAAACATATAATTTTCTTAAATAAATAGATTGATATATAGATATAAAAATACCTTTATTTTTATAAACCTAAACAATTATTATTTTAATTAATTCTAACAATATCTCTGTTTAACATTTCCACCTACATATTTAGCTCTTCCAATTAATTTTTTATTTACTAGTTTTTCTTTTGTTATTATTTTAAAATTAAGCTATTAATTTTTAGATATTTATCCATTTCTAATGTCATTTAATATATTTAAGACCCTTTTTATTAAATAAATAGCTATTAGACCATATTTTGCATATATCAGAAATAAACTCATTAAAAGAGTCATAATAATAGCATTTTTTTAAAATTGTTTATAAATCAATTGGTTCTTAAACTATATCAAAGTAGTTTGGATATTTAAATTCATCAGGATCTATTGGTTTCAAGAAAATTTAGCAGATTTATGTTTCTAAAGAAGATTTATTATTTTCAAAAATTTTTGATAGTTTTTATTACTTTTATTTTTCTTAGTTTTGGTTCTTAATTTATAGATGAATATAATTATTGTATTTAAATTATGTTAATTATTTATATTATCATTACTAAGAAATTGTTTATTAATCGGCTATAGACAAGATTATAATTATGGATTAGAAATAAATTATTAATAATTATAATCATTTAAATTCTCTTTCTTTTATTTTTTTATGTTTATACAAGTATATTTATAATATTTTTTATTGTATTAAAATTAATAAAAATATATATATTTATTTTTTTATTTTTTTAGTTAGTTAGTTTAAATATAAACTATTATTAAATATTCATTTAATTATTACTGTTATTTTTTATGGTTTCTTTAAGGCCTATTCATAAAGTTATTTATTTTAAGTACTTTTTACACGAATAGATTTTTAAGAAAACATAAGAGAATATCCTTTAGGTAAAAGCTAATTAATTATATTTTATTAATAATTAGTTAAAAAGAAATTGACTTTATCCTATTTCTAATTTAAATAATTATATTAATAATATAAAGTTAATTATTTCTTATGTAATATTCGTTTGCATTTATGAGAATATTTACAGATTATAAAATTAATTAGTTTAAAGTTTGATCTAACCATAATAAAAAAATATATATATGTATAAAAAATGTATAAATATAATAAATAATTTTCAAATAATTAAAAATTATTATTTATATACTTAATTATTTCTTTTTGTTGGCGCTAAATTTTTATATTTAGTTATTTTTTATAAAAATATTTACAATTAAATTTATTATATTTATATTTTACATTAACTTTATTAAATATTTAAATTGATTTTAAACTAAATGCTATTTATTTTTCAAAATAATACTTTGAAATTTTTCTTTTTTTTTTTTTTTTATTGTTTATTTAAATTTTTTTATTTATATATATTTATTTTTTTTGAAATAAAATCAACAAAAATTAAAATAAGTTATAATTTTTCTAAATGTTTAAACAATAATTTTAAAAAAAATAATACATTTAAATATTTTTTATCAATAAGTAAAAAATGTTCTATATTTTCTTTTTATAATGAATTATATGTATGTATATTAAATAATTAATTTGATCAATTTAACAAATTTTTATTTAAAACTATTTTATTTCAATTAAAAACAAGCTAAATAATTAAATAAAAAATAACTAAAATTTAAAAATAACTTATATAATTATTTATAAGTAAAATTAAAATAAAATTATTATTTAATAAAATATTAATAAATAAAATTTTATAAATAAATTTTTTATTATTAAAAATTTATAAGTTAAGCTTATATTTATCCTTATTAAAATTATACTTTTTTTATTTTATATTTAAAAACTATATATAATTACTTTTATATATTAATATAAGAAAAATTTTATTAGAAAAAAGAAA